AATATTTTCATTAATTCTTCTTATAAATCGTTGAAATTATGGTGAGAAAATCAGTTAATAGATTTCACGAATGGTAATTGATGATAACACTTCCCCAATGTTCTCATTTAGTTTTTGGGCTGATGATTTTTTTCAGCCGAAATAAATTTCCAGATACTTTTTCAATTGCGTCTAGGGAGGTCAGAAGAGGTCGAATGAATTTCTTTTTATTACTCAACCAAAAATCTGGCTCTCTATCTGGTTGCAAATTTGAAAATGAATAGTTATTCTCTAAATTAAAATTAGCGTTGAAGTTCTAATTTAAAGTTGTGACATTTTAGCTGTTTTTTGTTGAGAACGTTGATTGTTTTTGAATTTTTGTATCTTTTTTGTATATTTGGTTTTGCCTCTGTGTTAAAATCAATTGTTTTCGTGCAGCTTTCCTATAAGTGTAGTGGATAAGTGCTTGCTCTGGGTTTCGAGCCATTGTACATAACGATCGAACTTATTTTTTGCTGATGAATTTTAATCTTTCTGGCTTACGAATGTAAAATGCCCAATGTAGTTTTCATTATTAAGAGTCGATGAACGTAGCTTTTTTTTCTTTTTTTTTTCAGAAAAAGTATTTGCCCCTGTGAGAAGCAAGGGTATTACAATCGTGTACTAGACTTTTTCCCCCCTAAATAACTTTGTTCACAAAATGGCCAAAACTAGAAATGGTAAATTCGTGCGAAAGAAGTTTGTGCGTGTGTCTGTGCTTTGAGGTTGAACGGTTAGTCTCACGTTTTTTGAATTCTTTTCGGCTTTGTTTTTTCTATTTTGGGCGTAATAGGTTTCTGCCTGTATTATATTGGCTCATAATGTTTACTTTGACGAGCAGACAAAGTTTTTTGAGTGGTTCTGTGTTTTCATGGTGAAGGGGATGTATTAATTTTTCAAGTCGCAAGTTTTTTTGCTTTTTCGGCTTGCGAACGCTAAGTAAATTATCTTCCGATGTTATTCCAACATTGTATTGTCTTGGCCTGTTTTTTTTCAAAGATAGCCTGATTCAGTTTGATGGATCTATTTTTTTCCACCTTTAAGATTTTTCGATCGAATTTTTTGTTTTGTATCGCAAATGGCATTTGATTTGTATCGCAAGTGGCATTTGATTGATTTTTGAATTCGTTTTAATTTCAGTTCATTTCCTTTAATAATGGGAAGGGAAGTTCCACTTTTGAAGAGCAAAAGTGTAAAGGTCACGAAGATAGTGATCTACTTCTCAATTTGAATGTGGAAAATAATTTGCAGATTTCTTAGCGAAAGAAAAATTTATCTATTGATCCAGTTTTCTGATATTGAGTTAACTTTATAAAAAAAATGTCAATCGAAAATCTTTCCTAAGTTTTCAAAGAGCTTTAACAGTATTTATTTTTTCTTTGAAATTTTTCTTTGAAATTCGAACGTTGAGATGTTCTCAAAAACCAAAAACAGGTTAGTTTTTTCTTCTGTTCATTGACTTTTTTCCAACTGTCTCTTGGCTGTTTTTTAATTTGTCCTTCGTTTTCTCTATTTACGTTAGTGACCATAGTTTTTTAATTATGCTTCCAGATTTTTGTAACCTATCTCAAAAAAAGTGCTTATTTGGTAGCCTTTTTGGTATGTAGTAGTAGTAGGGCTTCTGTGCTTGGGCACATGGCGCTGTTACCCCAGTTAAGTTTCGGGTTCCATAGTGTGGTCTTCTTTCTACTGTTCTTCATCAAGCTGTCACAACCAACTCGTCGCGTACATTTGTTCATCTGTTCGTTTTCTATGTTCTCCAAAAAATTCGAAAAGTTTATTTCAGTCCAATTTTTTTGCCGCAGATCAGTTTTGACTATATCTGCAAGCCTTCTTGCTGAAACCGAGTACAGCACGAGATGTCTGTATAAGGAGACATATCTATTAAACTGTTATGATTTCTGTCCAGCATCATTTTTGACAATAACAGAAAATTTCCAAAAATTTCGAGATTTGTTTTCGAGATTTGTTTTGCACCTTTCATTGTTCGGCAATATCCATCTGTTTTCGTTTGTAGTTTTTCCAACTCTGTCATAACCTGTTTTCTTAATGCCATAACCTGAACTTATATGACATTCCTTTTCATTAAACAGAATTTTCTTATTGCCTTTTCAATGGTTGCTTGGATGTGCTGGTCCAATTTTAGGTCATTTGAAAACCTCCAGCCCAAAACAGATTGTGTATAATCTTTTTCGATAATATGTTTAACAACTTAAAAGCTCTTCTCACTACTGTTTATCGCAACATTAAGGAATTTGTCCATGTTGAAAGGATTTTGATTGGTTTCCGTGCATCCAAAACGTGCGTTTAACTTGTTTTGAATTAACACGGTTTCTGAGCCAAAACTTAATAAACTTTGCATCATCAGCAAACACAAGAGTGAATAGAGTCTTACCTTTTACGGGCAATTGCTTCAAAAAAAATTGGGCAAAGCAAAAGCGCAATAATCCTTCCCTGCGGAACACCATTTGCATTAATTTCCCATAGAATTTGTTGTTGGCTCGAACGAATTGGCTCCGATCTGTAATTTGCCTCTAATAATTTGCTAGTAATTTGCATATTGAGATTTTTCATGAGTAATGAGGCTTGTAATTCAACTCTAATTCCGGTATCAAATTGTTCATTTAAAAGCAAACCCTGATCCACGCGGTCAAACGCTTTGCTGTAATCATGGAAGATAATTCTAATTTCTTTTCAATAACATTGAATACCTTTTGGTGAAAGATAACTAACTGAGTTATCGTAGATCTATTCTTTCGGAAGCCGAACTGGGACCTATGAAAAAGTTCTAAATAATGGTTATATAATCGCTTGAGCAAAATTCTCTCTAAAATCTTTGAGGGAACACATAGATGGGACATAGGCCGATAGGTTGATATGTCAAGCGTAGACGGCTATGGAAGATTATGGAAGGGATTAGAAAGCGTAGACGGTTATAATGTTTATGGAAGAGAGAAGGTGGTAAATTGTCAGGCCCTTTTCTTTGATTATTATTTAAATTTTACATTTCCATTACTTCTTTAGTTCGTCATTCATTTCTATTAGAACTGGAAAATTTGAACGTCCATCATTAGTAGATTCAATTAAGGTCGATTTGCCGTAAACCGAATTGAAGAATCATGCGAACAGATCTGCTTTTTCCCTGTCGGAATCAGTAAAAAAATCATTTTTAAACATTTTCTGGGGTAAGTTTGATATCTGAAAATCTCTGAAATATTTAGGATTTGATGTGACTCTTGTAAATGCTAATTTATCTTTATATTGTAATTTATCATTACTGCTAGATGAATAATTCAATGCTTGCAAGGTTTTTTCATGGCAGTTTGTGGACATTTTATGTAATGTGTCAGTTTTTGTGAAATTCAGGGCGGTAAATATTATCTATGTGCTGTTCTTTTTGGTATTGTTTTGCGCAGAGCAGTAAGGGAGCCACTTATACCATAATCCAAAAATTTTGTCAGGATTCGACTAGCAAAAGAATTAAATTTATTTTTTTTTGTCAAAATTTCTGCTAGCTTGCGGTAGTCCCTGCAAAAACTTGTAAACGTGCTCTCGGCAAATTTTTCTTCTCAACCTGTATTTTGTTTCAACTTACGTTTTCTTCTTAATAAGGTAATGATTTGAGTGATCTGAAAACTCGATGTGTTCAAAAAATTTAGATTCGAAACCCCAAGTGTCTGTATGCCCTCGCGAGCAAACATTAAGTCTATTAATCCGGTACTTGCCGTAAAAAGACGATTTTTTGTTTCAAATTGTTTTGTTCAATCGAGTTTGAATTTTTCATTTCGATAGACAGACATGGAAAAACACGATTCCAGTTAATTGACGGAAAGTTGAAAATACCATACACAATCATGTCATTTACTTTATTTTTATGTTTTTTTGATTATTAAGTCTATTTTTATTAAGTCGCGAGCATTAAGTCTATTTTTGTTTTGTTTTTTGATTAAACTGAAATTTTGCAAAACCTTAGACGAATATGCATTTTTTATTGTTTGAGGGAGGTACATAATTTGTGATCAGTAGACTTTAAGGTTTTCGAAAATATAATAGATGCAACAACTGAATCTTACCCGGTTTTCAGTCTTTCAGCCATAAAGGTTCGATTAACGCAAATAATTGTTCGACCGTGGGAAGTGCTTTATTTTCCTGCTAACCTTCTTTGCTCAAAAACATTGAAAATGCGCGGCGAGAACAATTCTCCCTCTAAAAAGTTATCCTTTATGTAATACATATCATGTCGTAAGTTCTAATAGAAACATGAGTCGCTAAAATCTTGAATCTTCCATATTTGCAGATACTTTTTACATTATAACACAATACATGATTTTTTGAGTCACTCATCTACGGCCACCACTTCCTTTTCAAGATACATAAACACCACATTTATCTGTACATATTTTGGATCAATATCACCGTCGCTTAGAGTTTCCCTTCTCCTTTTTGACATATTTTGTTCATTCATTTGCTCGTCTTTGTTAAAGGATTTTGAAAGAAATACAAAACAATCTTTACCGTTGTAGGCTGGCTCATACAGTTTGAGAATTGTTGACCGCGCTAACATTTTTTACAGTATAGCTCAGAGATTTTATCAAGTCCTTTTGCATTACAAGATTTAACTGCAGTAGAATACTTAGCTTTGGGGTTTGGCGGAGACGACTAACCCAGCGCAATTATTTCCATCTTTACTTTCTCCACTGAAGTTTTCAGCTCAATGAGCTCTCCTGCTATTACTGCGGAATTTGCACTTCCATATATGTGTTCTTCTTCGCTGCTGGAATACATTCATCACAGGAAAAGAACATTTTTTGCGTCTTCTAGGATTTTGTATTCCTCCTTGCTGTAACCAAAACATCCACTGTGAACCCATCGTTGACATCATTCACGCATGATCCAGTGCTCTCCACCAATTTTGGAGCATATAGAACAGGAGCCACTTTTTGACGACATTGTTGACCTCGTCCCAGGCATTTCGTTATATGAAACTATTTAATAATTTTATCACAACAATTATATTCACGATCTGTACCATAGGAAATATCATAGCATCTGTTCTCTACTTTATTTGTGGGTGAGAGTTAAGCGTCCGAGGCTGAGGGGAAGGACGTTAGTTTTCAAATGTTGAGGTTGCTGGTTCGGTTCCGAGACATGTAATCTGAGGTTTGATGTTCATTACGCACGCGAGCTTGCGGGCCTTGTGTTATAATGGGTTTCCACTTTTTTCGATTGAACTTGCTTAAAACAGTGCTCATTTCGGTAGCATTTTTTAGCCTCAGAGCATTGGTTATTTCATTGCAGTATTTATCAACATTATTCTTGTCAAATGCTGTGAGAAACTTTCCAAAGAGCAATTGGCGCATATCCGAGGACGTCAGAATCCTATTCTCCAGGGTGAGGGTTCAGCTCCGACAGATGGCGAAAGTTCTATTTTTCAATGCTGCTCATTTTTTCTCGTGTTTCACTTCAAAGAGCCAATTTCGAAGTGCAGCTTTGCCTCAGTTTTAATTTTGTTTTCGTTACCAGGCAATTTTTCGAATAGTAAACATTGCTCTGGAAGTCTGGCGAGGTTTGAAAATGTAATCAATTCAGTTGTCAAGAAAATATCGAAGAAGACAGGTGCTATGAAGGAAAATGGCGAATTAGTTTTACTGGTTTGATGCTTTTTCTCGCCCAAGAAATCAAGTAAGAGAGTTGATGGATGATTATAGAAGCGATTGGTAATCCAGCTTGGTTTTCGTTTTTTTTTTTAACTTTCAACTATCATAACCAAATTATGAAGCTTGTTTAGATGTTTTTTTTTCAATATTTTCACAGCAACTGTCTACTCCTGTTAAAGTTAGACACTAAATTATTCTTTCTGGAGTCAGACTTATGTGTTTTGGGCTGAACTTCAACCTTTCGGTGAAATGAGACTAATGCTAATGCACAATTAAAGGTTGTGGCGTCAAATAAATTGCATTAAGCCAATGAATTTGTGTGCTATCAGTTTTTAATCAGCTCTTTTTTCCTCGTCTATGGGTTGATAATAGTTAATTTTCGTCTCGACTTAGATTAGTAGTTTGATGCTAGAGCAAAAAAAGGTAGAAGCCTTTTCTTTGTTCTAGCCGTGCAGTAAAATGTCACATAAGTAATTCAAACATGATGGAATATCAAATATCAGATAAAATGCATCTGCCTTACTATCTCAATTTTCCAATTATTGATGGAAGCGAATTTTTGTTAAATCCTGCTTGACGCTCTTTAAACACTGCGTCTTTCGTGCTGCAATGTTTCTTTTTGTGTCGCTCCAAAATTTGTTTTGTTAATTTTTTTCAACTTTTAAAAAAAATTAGTGTCATTGAACATACAGCATTAATCACCTATTGATTAAAATCATGTCTTTATTATAAGATAGCTGCTTCTCGCCAATAAAGAACTAAGCACGTACTTGAAACCATATGAATTTGAAGAAGTCGAATTTTTCATGTATGTTCCGTTGGAAAGTGCCCGAAAGTTTAGCCGAAAATGTTTTTTTTTTGGCAAGTATAGCTTTCTTCCCTCTTTGTCGTAATTATATTAGTTTGAAGGCCTTTTTTGACTACGTTCAATAAATTCTATAATGTGGTGGTGAGCGACTTTTACTAAGATATTAGAAAATATTGTAGTCCGTAATTCGTCGCTTTTGTTTTTGGGTCAATCGATTACCGGGTGAGTTGAAAACTTTTTTAAACCGATTTAACGAGGCAGTGTATGAGTGCTCTAATGGCGTGGAAATTTCAAATCTCTAATCACAGAATCTACTTAGCCGAGAAACTTATCACCTGATTTAATAACCCCCTTAATTTATGTAAATTAGAGGTTTAAATTTGAATTTATCCGATTTGATATTCAGTTCAGTTGAGTGAAAATTAATTATTCGTTGTTATTTTTGGAAAAGAAAAAACTAAGAACTGCGTCAAGTTGCTTAAGTTTTAATATGCTTTGACGTCAATGCTCTACTAATATGGGTTCATTTGGATTAGTTTTTCTGTTCAGACTTGGCTTTGAACTTGAAATTTATCGTGAAAAAGGCCATTTAGTCTATTTTTACAAACCATCTTTGATACATAATTTATTAGCTTACTGGTTGAACTGTTACCACTTATCGCCTTTTTCAGAATGCATGCATAGTTGTCCCATGGGTCGACTCCTTTTTGTATATACTTGCATGGCATTAAGACCACCAAATTGGCCCTGATTAGCACCCGGAGAGCAGCGCGGAAGAGAGAGAAGAGAGTGAATTTTAATGAGATCAGATTGAAAGTATGGACGGATTGGTAGCGACAAGTGCACAGATGTACAACGGGGCTAGTAGTAGTTCTTCACTTGTGGACAGTCGGAACCAAACACCAGACATCAACATCCACGCTTTATACGTTAGTCCATATATAATAATTCGTTTTTCTTCAAGCGGTTCGCAAAACAAAACAACGTGTTTTGCAATGTAGGTAAATAGTTTGCCTACCAGTCGAGAGTGTTCCATTAGTGGCATTATAACTAAGTGCATTGCTTCGAGACTTTTATATCGGGTAGATTTTTAAATCTTGATCAGTAAATTAACAACTACTTTACTTCTCATCGAGAATTATTTACCTATATTTATCGGTTCATTTATTCTGTCTTGCAGAGTAGTGTTTAACGGTATGTTTAATATCTAAAAATTTACTCTTTTTATCTGCTTTTTTTTCTTGAAGCTATGCTATAGCGAATTCTGGCAACTTGAAAAGCCATCTCTTACTTCTAGCTAACGACAACTGTTGTAATCGTCAAACGCAGAAATTGGTCGTACTAAAACGGTCCAAAATTCACATTGTTTATTCTTTTTGTTCAAAATATTTTTTTTATAAATCCAGAAGAACACGTTCGTAGTCATTTTGTTATCTTTCTTGAGTAAAGAAACCGCGCAGAAAAGTTTTAGCCATTATTATTGTCCGTATCGAGCTTGCTTATCCTTACCATTAAGAATTTGTAAGATTTGCTACTGAAACCTGGTTTGGTTTTGCTATGGCTCGATTTTGAAATATAATATAGGTTTGATTTTATCTGATCTAATTTATTAAATCAATGTTTTTAGCCTAGTCACGCGGACCTTGGGAGCACTAGTTTTTCATCACTGTCTGCTAAGAATCCACAATATGACATCACAAAAAACAGCAGTTCAACTAAAATACAATCATCACAATACAGCAATTACGGTCACCAATCCAAGGTCAGTAATATTAATTTGCGCTACTTAGACATATATTACCGGTTCATTCTACTTTTGGTTTTGGCTGAAATTGTTAGATTATCATGTTCATGATATGCTTTTGATGTTATAACCTATCATCGCTTAGGTCAAACTCTCGAATCAGTCCAGACCCAAGTCTTTATCTATGGATTCCAAACTGAAACAAGCAACTCACAAAGTGCCAGACATTTACTCCTTTCCGGAGATAAACTCCGGATCCAAGTCACCGAAAAGTAGCAGAATCAAATTAAGAAGTGATTATAGTAAATACGAGAGCAATAAAACGACAAGGTCATTTACGCAGCAGCCATTTCAAGCATCGATTGAGATAGCTGATCAGTTCCACGCTGAGTTGGAACGTCTTTACTCCGAAAGTAGTAAAGAGCAACAGGATTTTTCATCTTCGCCTTCAGAACTTAAACTAGAAGATGTCCTCTTGCAATGTGATAACGGAGAATTGTTTGGCCACGAGAATGGACAAGAAAAGGCTAAGAGAGCAGGCAGAAAAAGTGTGGTGCTTAGCGATGAAATTGTTGTAGTTGATGACGATGATCAGCATCATGAGCAGGATATTTATGACCATCTGAATCACGAGCAGTCAGAGACAACAGACAGTGAAATAGTTGTGAGTTACAAAGTTTATTGCAATTATGTTTGTTTCCCAGTTAGGTGAAGGGAACCAATAAGTATAATTCAGGTTAATTTTCCTCCATGAAATCTCAATTAAACCAAGATTGAATTGCACATGTTCTATTTTTTTTGGCATAATTTCATCCAAAAAAATAATACACCGATTTGATCGACTATTTTAGATAGGTAAGTACACCTTGATTTTTCAGCCACCGCCACCCTCAGACGATCTTCCTTCTGACGACACTGACTCCGCGACCGATTCATACCGCCAGATGTCAGACGAAAACGAAGAAAACAACAACATAAGCCAACATTCAGTACTTCTCCCTAAACCCATCGCTCTTCCCTCGTCGTCCACAGTGATTCATCGGAAGATCAGTTCGGGGAAGGCGAAGAGTCTTTCGTGTATGGATATAAATGTAATGGAGACTTGGAATGACAGAGAGGTGGAGATGAATGGCCTGGATAGCCAGCAAAGGCCAATTAGTATGTACGCTGCGTCAAGTACAGATCGGCCTGCAGAGAATGGCTTGTCTAGGTCTGACGGTAAGTTCGGTCAATCAGCTATTTTAAGCTATAAGGGATGAGCGAGTTTAGTGTTTTAATGAAGAACTGTCCACGCTGTCATTTTCAGCTACATTGCTTGTTTTAGAGCAGTAATGTATCAAAAAACTTCAATCATCAAGATTCCAAATCTCTTGTTATAGTACCATATTACTTTATTTCCTATTTAACTTGCGCATTTCATTTCTTAGTGTTATGCAAAACTGTTTCTGCTTTATTTTGAGCAGCATGCGCTTCATCCACTTCTTTTTGGTGAATTGTAGCATGAATTGTTTTCGCTGTGCTAAAAATCATTGTTTATTGCTTGCGTTTGAGGGACACTTAATTTTCGTTTGAAAGTAATGCATGTGGCTCTGTATCTTGAGCTCCGCTGTTCGAATCCCATTCTCTCCCGTTTAATAATTTTTTTGTCTTAGCGTAATATATTGATGCACTTAGCTATCTATATATGCACTTTTTGAGTTCAATTGAAATTCATCAGCTGAAAGTGACGTAAATAGCACTGTCCAAATACGAACGTGCAAATGGCGCAAAAGTTCGTGAACGATTTCTAGTTTCGAAAGTGGAATTAAATTTTTAGATTTCCAGCGGAATAAAAACTTTTCCTGTTGATCCAGTTTTCTCAAATTGGGTTAATGTTATCAAAAAAGCGCCAATCATAAATTGTTCTAGAAATTCAAAAAGCTTAAAAAGGGCACTTTTTTTCTCTGAAATTCCAAAGTTGAAGATTGTTTCAAGAAAGTCAGTGTTTTTTTTGTTTACTTGCATTCGTTACTCTTTTCCAATCTTTGATTGGCTATGTTTAATAATTGCAAGTAGGTTTGTAAGAAATAGATGTGAAGTATTCCAATAATTTACAATGTCAACTAAAAAATCAAGGAAATATCAGAAAACGGGTTTTGAAAGTCATGTTTTTTACAGAATAAAGCTTGCAATTCCAAAATTGTTTTTATTTATTTCGCATGAAATAGTTCTCATTTTGGTGACACTGCTCATAGTATTGTATGTTTAATAGCATGTGTTATCCCTTGAATCAGAGGCTAGTTTTTCGGTGCTTTAAGCGTCAGTAGAACAGTTTTGTAGGAGTCGACTTGAATGATTGGATGCTCGAATCTGTGATTTGATTCTCGAGTGGCAGTAGATGGCATTTATTTTTCAAAACTCACCAATATTTTTAATTTCTTTTTTTACCTCTTCAAAGCTGCTTGTCACAGTTTATTCGCTAGGTTGCGATGTCAAGCTTCGCCTCTGCGTTGAATGTGCTATTGCAACTTGTAGTTTTGTTATGAAATATTTCGATTGAAGTTAAGTAAATGCTACATCTTGAAAGGAAGAATTCACGGTTCTGTGACACAACGAATAATTAAGAAGCGTGGAAATATATTATTATAGTTCCGAGTGCAAAAAAAATAAATAGTAAAAGTACACATAAAATTGTCGATGAACTGAAACTGCATTCAAAATAGGAATTGGTTGCATATGTGATTCCCAATGATGTCATGATTGAAACAGAATAATTCATCCGGAAAAACGAAATTTCTTGCAAAAAATTGACAATAGACTGAGTTGTCTCAAAATTTTAAAAGCTTTAATCATCGAAGGTTCTTTAAGTGCTGAGGTTTTAAAATTGATGTTTTTTTTTAATGAAACTAGAAAATTGGAAAAAAAGGAATGAGCGCAGTGCAACATGCAGATCACAGATTAAGCTGCTAAAACGGGATAAATAAATATATTACTCAGAAATATATATAAGTAAGTAGTGGGCTTTTTCTAAATGTCCTTTATTTTATAATTACAGCTTTCTACTACTTTTTTTCTATTACCACAGCCCAGGATGCCACCCTTGGTAACAATTTTCACGCAAGAAAAGTTTTATAATCATGTTGCAAAACCCGAGTAAATTGCAAGGATTTTGGGTTAACTTTGAGCACACGTTACGAAGTTCAATTCAATTTTATCGGAAAAAAGGTGAAATGAAGCCTTCCAAATAAAAAGACGTGGAATCTCATTTACCGCTAATTGTCGTGGAGCGTCAGCTCCTAATAAACGGCTCAACCAAATGTAATCTTCTCAAGCAAAACGAAAATTGATGAAATCATGACGTCAAATGCGAATAGATTTAATCAATTTCCTAAATCTTGACGTCAGTTTTGGATAGATTTAATCAATTTACTGAGAGAAAAGCCTGAAAGTTTTTGATCATAAGGGAAGAGAAAATAATTAATTTAAAACAGTTATTATTACAAAGTAGTTAATCACATTGAAGATGTTTTCGCTTTTCTGTGACCACGACGTTTAATTCATTGATTAGTTTGACAATAGTTTTAATTACGAAAATTTTTCTCAAGTGATGGCTTTCACATACTTTTCCTTTGTTTCAGAAGAGTTTTCAACATTTAGATTACTTAAAGAGCTATAATTAGTATAAAAGTTTGCTATTGAATACTTAAATATTTGTTCTATTCTAGCAAAACTTACCAGAATATTTCCTGCTCTTCTTTTTTTCAGAACAGTTTTCACCATATAAATGTTTGTTTGATATTTTTTGGTTCGATTTGAAAATTGATTGAGTTTATGATTCAGGCTTTGAATCAACTGGAAATTTAACAAGAGTAGCTGGAAGTTCCACCAACGGATACCTCAATCCAACAATAGAACGAAATAGCACCCTTTCTTACACATACAATAACTACCCACCTCCTCAAGAGAGGAGTTCCATTTTCGATCTATTCAAGAAACCGGGACGAAAGATGTCGAATGCAGCTTCGGTTGATCAACTGCCACAGTACATAGACGCCAGTTGTGCGACGCGGTCTTCGCAGAAAGATAAAAGCTTCAGTTTTAGCAGAACGTTCGGAAGGTCAAAAAAGAAGAAAAACTCAGGGCATATATGGGATTTCTTCGATCCCAACGACCTAGGGTCGGCTTTCAGGTAAATGTTTGTTCTATTATGTTAATGCACATTACCTTTAAGTTATTTTTGCCATAGATTGTATATGAACTCTCTTTCGTTTCTTAAATACAGATCTGATAGCAAAATGCTAGCTGTAACCGCCTTTTCCACTTCGTGGTAGCTATAGGGCATATTTTTTTCAAACCATTTCAGTTACGAAGAGGAAAATAGAATTATATACATACAGATTAGGAATTCATATTTCCACCACATGCAAGCAAGAGTTTTTTAAATTCTACTTTGCATTTGAGCGTGAAATATGGATTTTGCGATTTAGTAATATTTTCGTTCATGTCCTAACAGATGTGTAGTGGAACTATGGCTTACTTCATTATGGATAATTTTTTTGCAAAGATCGGCGATGATCAGAACGTTATGTGCTACCTGCTCTGTAATGAGTACTGTTCTAAAATGAATTTTTTTGTTCTAGGTTTAGTTTGAATGACCATACAAAGTTCACTTCTAAGTCCTCCGCCGATAGTCTTACGAGTGCTCAGGCGAGCTGCGCAACGTGCAATAGAACATTCGACCAAGCCAGAGGGGAATCAGCTCCATTCAACAGAATTGCAAAATGCCAAGGTAAGAAGCATCTTTCAATGTGTTTACGCTTGCCTTTAGCAAGCGGTGTCAAACCGGAATATAGATTTTTTTTCGGGTTTACAACTAGTTTAACAGAATCATTTTACCTTTGGTTCATTTGAAATCAAAAGCCAGTTGTTAATTCGCGCATGTCGCGAAGAGCTAATACATTTGCCTAAAAAGCGAATGTCAATGGTTCGAAGCCAGGACCTTTTTTTTGTAAGCGCAAAATTGTCCGAGCGTCAAAAAATCTTTGTCGGTCTTCAGTTTATCTTTGACCAAAATTTGGGTCCAGTGTTTTCCGGTTTCGGGCTAGTAATTGAGTTCCAAGAAGTTTTGCCTATTTTTTTGCTTTTTTTAATTGATTTTCATTCTGTTCATTAAAAGTTTTCGGTTTTCTTTATAAATTCAATGAGTTTTCTGTGATGTCAGTGCAGTGATAATACCCATACTCGAGACAACAAATTCCAGAAGTTGGATTCCAATCGAGACTAGTCAAATTTTTGATTTTGTGACTTTTTGTTTTTCCTTTTTTTATTCTTTTGACTTTTCTCGAAAACTAACCTCCCAAATTGGAGGCTGTGGGTTCAATAGAGAAAACGGGGAGTAGTAAGCTCCCCTGCATTTGCTGTTACTCTCAAAATTCTAACACAAAAAAGTTATCGCCTTCGGAAAAGTTAAATTTTTGATGTTTTGACCTTTTTTTACACATGCGAACAGCTTAGTGTTATTACGAACTTTTTTTTCTATCCTAACTCGCAAAAAAGTGTTCATTAAAAGTGTTCTTTTATTTGGAAGTTTCACTGTAGCATTGGAAATTACATAGCATCTGTTCTCTGCTTTATTTGTAACTGAGTGGTTAATGATACCTATTAAGCTTCCTTGGCTTAGTGTGTGAGACTCTTAATCTCTAGGTCTCATGTTCGAATCTCAGAGGTCGACGAATTTTTGCTAATTCGAGGAATATTTTTAATTTTAATTATTGCACTTTATAGGGCTTCCTTTTGTCGTGTACTCGCTAATGTTTGCCAAGTGAGGCTCTGTGTTTAATTTTGGAGTTTTCTCCGAAACTACTTTCAAATATCTAATATTTTGGGCTCAATTCAAAAAACGGGTTTTGGTATGCTCCTTTGCATGTGCGACTACGCCTAATTTCCTGTGACGCAACAAGTTATGGCGCTCGGAAACTCAAAATTTTTATTTTTGACCGTTTTTGATTTTTTCTCGAGAACTACGCTCTCAAATGTGTTCAATTGAAGTTACAAATTACTCAAAAATCTTCTGCATAAGCGGTTACGCCCAAATTTTTTACACGAAAAGGTCTTGGAAAAGACAATTTTTTGATTTGTTGACCGTTTGTGGAAACTTGTTGACCGTTTATGGAAACTTGTTGACCGTTTGTGCAATCTAATCGAAACAATAGGTTGTTGAAAGCCTACCTGCATAAGCGGTAAATCCCATTTTTTTGAAACTTGTTGACTGTTTTCGAAAACTACCTTGCGACATGGTTAAGTGTTCAATCGAGAAACCCTGTTTTGGGAATCTTCTCTGCTTAAGCGGCCACAAACTACTTTTTGTAGAAAAAAAGTTGAACATTTCGAAAAATTTGAATTTTTGACCGTTTCGTTATAAGCTTGAATTTTCCTAAAATTTACCCTATCAAATCTGAGATGTAGGGTTTAATAGAAAGAATGGATTGCGAGAATTTTTATTGCAAAATCTTATTTTTTGTAAGTTCATAGTATCTCCAAGGGATAGTTCCAATATCTCGAAATAAGTCCATTTTTTTCCTTGCGTTCAATGAGTTTTTTTCCAACTGTAGCTTGGCCATGTTTGACAATTCTTACTGAAAAATAAGACGATCACAGATTGCCACAATATTCGAAAGCGCTTGATTTTTACAACGAAATAAGTTTATAGCTTTATGGTATAATATATTTTTGAAATCTGGCGTATTGGCAACACGGCGCATCTCTCGTTTTCTCAAAAAGTTCAATATATGATCCAGACACTAAGACCCAAAAAATACATCTAAGTTCCCGGTGCTAAAACTGTATTAATTAACAATGCCAGGAGTCTTACAATTTCTTTCTTCCGGGCTTAAAGACTGAACACTTGCATCTGGACTTAAATTTTCTTATGCTTTGAAAACCCTTTTAAGCAATATTGGCGAGTAATTTATTTGGATTTATCGCGCGCCTTTTTGACCCAAAATGGAAATGGTGCACCCACTCAGGCTTTTTGATTTTAACTGAAGGGGGCTTTTTATTGGCGGGTCTCTTCAGCCTCCTAGAATTTTCAAACTGCAATAGTTGATAAGCAATAGTCTTTCAAACTTGTACTAAATGACTGAGAGCAAATTGCTCATACGGAAAAAAGAAAAGTACGTTATTTAATTAACTTCGCAGCAGTTAGTTTTTCGTATCTTCAGTTTGACCAGTCTTTTGAGCAAATCATTGTTATGAATATTAAATTTCTTCGCATGTTTTTCGTGGCTTACAATTGCTGAACTTTGAGTATTAGATCACATCAAAACAACCGCACAAAATGAACGCATTGCTGTTGCCCAGCCTTCAAACGTGTAGTTGATCAAGTTATATTGACCATTATTTGATGTTCTGAAAGCTTTGCAATAACTGAATATAGTTGCTGTTTTTTTTTTGGTTATATTCGAGTGCTTCTCGAGTCAAACAAGACATCTTTTTTTCGTATCATCAAAAATATTTATTTATTTATAACTCCTTTTAAATAAACCCGAAATTTTATGCGTTTGATTTATTTGATTCTTTTATTAAATGACGCATTGAGTACTTGACAAGACATGACAACTTCTTACAAAGTTATTAGATGGAATTAGAGTTTTATCGAATGTCGATATGTTAGCTTCACAGAATAATAATTTGTAGAAATTATGCCTGGTAAATTTTTTTCAACTAAGCGGTTTTTCGATCGAAGGAGCAGTCATCCCGATGCACTGCTAACTGTACCTGCACCTGTGCCAAACAGCCCAGGCAGTGGTAGCCTTAGAAGCTTGAGTCAGTATAAAATCCGAATGCCGCCTCGGACGAGAACCGAATCTGAGAAATCTTCAGTTTCGTTTTCTTCTGAGAATGAGAGGTGGGGAGCGAAATTCAAGCTGTCGCGACTTTTCACCGACATTGTTGACATTTTTCTATCTGAAATTCATACATGCTTTGATTAAAACGCCTTGACTAATTTGGAACGAACAAAAACACGGATAGCTAGCCAAGTTTTCAACGAAAGAGACGTCTCGCACTTGACCACCACCTAATGCTATTGAGATTCTAAAAAGAGTCTATTTTGGTCATCCCTTTTAAAACTAGTTCGACTTTGAAAAATTACAGGGGCGTGGTCAAAATTGTTTTTCAAGTGCAATGTTTGCTGGTAATTGTTTTTCGGCATCATTTTTCTATCGGCTTATTTTTCTCAATCAAAGATTTTTTCAAACTTCAAAATACGTACCGCCCTGGGATATATTTACATCTGGTCAGTAGCTGATTTAGGGGGGGGGGGCGGATTGTTCCCCTCAGGGATTCGACTTCCTGTCGACCCAAAGGGTCCCACCTTTGTACTATTTTGAGATATCCATTTTTAGTGACGGACCCTAAAAATTTTCTAAAAGCGCCTTTGGCTCCAATATATACTAATTTTGAGGGGGGAGCGCACGCCAAAAAAAACGGCGATTTTTTTGGTCAAAGTTTTCCAAAAAGTGCCTAAAAACGCCAATTTTCTATAGTGCCTAAAAACGCCGTCTTTAAAGTGATTCGGAAGATCTCAGAAAATCAATTTGGTCGACCTAGAAAAAAAGGTTGATAAAATTTTCAAAATCCGCCTCACACCCTCGAGAAATTTCTAGATCCGCGCCTGCATCTGGTTGTTGCTATTAAACAAATGTTTTTGTACTTTTGACTGTCCCTTTTTGTCGGAAAAAAAACAAACAAACAAATGAGAAATCGGAAACCGAAGAAATATAAGTACAATTAGGATGCTGTTTTAAGAGGTTTGTGTAGTTGTTGAACATCTTAGAATCCTTCAGCACAAAAGTTGAAAGGAATATATTATAACAATACGGTCTGACCACACATTTTTGAAAGCTAATAGTCTTATGAACAAAAATCTATTTAAAGCATTGAAAATATCAGCTTGAATTTCGCTCCGTTGTATCGAAAAAGGTCTCCTGCTGTTACGAGTACTTCTAATAGTTCAAACCACTCACCTAGTCGAGCAGCACCAATAATCAGAAGTTCTTCTGATAATTTTTGTCAGTCTAGACCAGTTTATGGCGGAGATAGAAGGTCCAGCTGTTTTGCCAATTTAGAATGTGGAGTTGCAGTTCATGATGAAGATGCGTGCAGGGGACCAGTGGAGAGGGAAGAATGTGGATCAATTAGAAATAAAAAGGTTAGGCATTACATTATCGTTATACATTGCGTCTAACTTGCACTATCTAAGCAACATTTTTAGCATCATCAATTGCTAGAGAACCTACAAAAAAAATCAACTAAATGTTAATTTCAATCTGTTACTTCTATATGCATGTGAACAGCACGGAGAGTGAACTTTTTAACTCAGTTGAGTGGTAATCATTGATAAGAAAATTTGAAGCGACTCTGTACGTAGCGAAGACGCTTGTTTACGAACTTCGGCTGTTTTCAGTAGTAAACGAAATATTTTTGACGACCCCTATGTTATACAGAATTTAGAGAAGCTTCAGGAGATAGGACACACTTAGTAGAAGCAGTAACCGTGAAGTAAACAAGTTCAAGTTTTGTTTTTGAAACTGAATAGGGGTAACTGGGACTAGCGAGTTTCTGAAATTTTGGTGGATGCGTCTGAACTTTTTTGTTATTTAATTTGGTTTTATAGGGACTGCGATTCAACAATCATTTTAATTTTTAAAGCTGAATTTGGACCCTAACCTGGCTAAACAATGACATATATGTGCTTCTTTATGTTTATTCAATGTTTGACATTTTTTTTCCAACGTTTTAATGTTTTCGCACATATTTTTCACTTTGTTTGAAGATCTCCAATTTCGTATTTTATTCGATAAAACGGGAAGTGCTTTGTAACGCAGATGGGTTTGTTAACTGTCCCCTCACCGTTTCTGTTGATTCATGTTATACTTGTTCGACCATTTGATAAATGGGGAGGAACTTTGTATTCGGGTGTGTTGTAGTTTTTTGTTTTCCTCGCAAAATAATCATCGTAATGGGTGATTTATCATATCAAAGCCCGTTCAGTTGTGATTTGAACGACATTAAAAAAATTTGGAATAATTTTTAAAGTTGAGAAAAACTAGCTTGAAAGTTTTGATTTTTGGGCTACTTTCAAGCGAATAAAGGCGAGCGAGCAGGCTTATTAATGCTTAATTTAAGCTGGAATAACCTAGTTTTAGACGAGTTAATTTAATTTTTGGATTTGCTTAAGCAAAATTTAGGGAATCAAAGACTTAAGTTTCAAAAAGTTTTGCAAAAAGTTTTGATTTTTTAAAAATTATTTTGTGCGATTTTTTTGTTATCCAACAAAAACTTGTCTAATTTGCCTATTTGACTATGACTGTCGCATATGCCCAAGTTTTAGTTTTTCATACAGATGCATTTATCACCCCAAGCTGAAAAACGTGGCTAGCCTTGTTGTCGTTTGCATATATACCCTTAACAATGAGAAAAGAGAATTTTTGAAGGTCGATTTAACTCATGAAAATTTCTGCTCTAATCAAATACTAAAAACTAAGCAGCTTGCACTCTCCAATAAAGAAAGCGGATATGGCACGAAAAAAATACGAATATAAGATTCGAAATATTTATGTGCATCAGTTCAAAGTTTTAGTAGCAGACAAATTTTTTTCCTAAGTTTTTGTTATTATTGCTCTAGTGAGCTTAAGCGATTGTAGTGTAATAGTGCAATCTTTCTTAATTTCAATCTAAGTCGCAAATATTGGTGCCATTTTTAGTGGCACATTTGCGCTTTTGATAGCATGTGCCGTGACATTCAATTGGTATAAGTTAACACAGTTGATGCATTTTCAATTAATCAAATGGGCGAAAAAAGCTAATAGCTAATCGGTTCAAACAACTTGATAATCATTAAAACTCGAATTCGGAAATTTCCAACTCAAAATTTCTCGCAACTTTTTTTGAAATGCATCCTTTATCCATAATTTGGCTTTAATCATTCCAATTTGCTTAATATAAAGTTAGTGTGGATGCCTTAAGTTTGTTATATTCACAAATGCGAAGCAAAGTGTATTAGTACGAACTTTCTTTTTTCAACCTATGTCGAAAATGTTGGTGCCACTTTTGGGGCACCTGTACAGCTTTTGGATAGCATGTGTTCTGACATTTGATTACTAAAAAGTTAACACATCTGATGCATTTTTAATTCATCAAATCAACCGAAAAAAAAGTATTTATTCAAACAGCAGTACAATGATAAAAAACTCGATTTCTAAAATTTTTCATCTCAAAGTCTCTCGCAATTGTTTTGAAATGCATAATTTATACATAATTTATACATTGCGCTTTTGATAGCATGTGCCGTGACATTCAATTGGTATAAGTTAACACAGTTGATGCATTTTTAATTAATCAAATGGGCGAAAAAAGCTAATAGCTAATCGGTTCAAACAACTTGATAATCATTAAAACTCGAATTCAGAAATTTCCAGCTCAAATTTTCTCGCAAACGGGAAGTGCTTTGTAACGCAGATGGGTTTGTTAACTGTCCCCTCACCGTTTCTGTTGATTCATGTTATACTTATTCGACTATTTGATAAATGGGGGGGAACTTTGTATTCGGGTGTGTTGTAGTTTTTTGTTTTCCTCGCAAAATAATCATCGTAATGGGTGATTTATCATATCAAAGCCTTTTCAGCTGTGATTCAAACGACATTAAAAAAAATTTGGAATAGTTTTGAAAGTTGAGAAAAACTAGCTTGAAATTTTTGATTTTTGGGCTACTTTCAAGCGAATAAAGGCGAGCGAGCAGGCTTATTAATGCTTAATTTAAGCTGGAGTAACCTAGTTTTAGACGAGTTAATTTAATTTTTGGATTTGCTTAAGCAAAATTTAGGGAATCAAAGACTTAAGTTTCTAAAAGTTCTGATAATTTATACATTGCGCTTTTGATAGCATGTGCCGTGACATTCAATTGGTATAAGTTAACACAGTTGATGCATTTTCAATTAATCAAATGGGCGAAAAAAGCTAATAGCTAATCGGTTCAAACAACTTGATAATCATTAAAACTCGACTTCAGAAATTTCAACTCAAAATTTCTCGCAACTTTTTTTGAAATGCATCCTTTATCCATAATTTGGCTTTAATCATTCCAATTTGCTTAATATAAAGTTATTGTGGATGCCTTAAGTTTGTTATATTCACAAATGCGAAGCAAAGTGTATTAGTACGAACTTTCTTTTTTTTCAACCTAAGTCGAAAATTTTGGTGCCACTTTTGGGGCACCTGTACAGCTTTTGGATAGCATGTGTTCTGACATTTGATTACTAAAAAGTTAACACAGCTGATGCATTTTTAATTCATCAAATCAACCGAAAAAAAGTATTTATTCAAACAGCAGTACAATGATAAAAAACTCGATTTCTAAAATTTTTCATCTCAAAGTCTCTCGCAATTGTTTTGAAATGCATAATTTATACATAATTTGGTTTTATGCTACCCAATGCAAAATTCTGCTTTTTTGCTGCATCGAATTGACAATTTTTTAGCATATGAAGCTGCGTTAATGGTGGCGAGTTTTTTGGCAGTTGAAGCAACCGTGGCTGAGTGGTTAGTGCATGAGACTCAAATAGGCTAGGTGGCAGATTCGATTCCGACTCGTAGCCGAGTTTTCGAGGTTTATTTCTAATTTTTCTTTTATCACTTGATAGATTCGTGTTCTTGCAAGTGTTTGCGAAACGCTGCTTCGCCTCTGTGTTCAAATTGTTGGGTGCAAAATTATGTCTATCTGTATTTGGTGCCATGTTTGCTGCATCGAATTATCAATTTATTAGCATATGTAGCTGCTTTGTTTGTGGTCTGTGTTAGTAAATTACAAGGGCCCGTGGCGCAGATGCGAGGACAGGGGTGGTCTCTAAAACTCCTGGTCATAGCATCGAATCCATCACAGCGAAGCTTCGCCTTTTTTTGTAATTTTGAACTACAACTAGTTATGCTTATTTTTCAGGAAACGTTTTCAATTTTGTTCTGAAAGGGGTTGTTGCTTTCACTTTTCAAAGTTAAACTCTCATATCCCCCAAGAAATGTGAATAATTTTCAAAAATAGATTCGTATTTTTATTTTCGTTGGAACGAAAAAGAGGCCTATTTATTCAGTGTTGCGAAAGTGGGTTACTCTTAAAAACGACAATTCAATCGTAAATGATTTTTGAAAAAAGTGCCAAATTGTTTTTAATTGAAACTTTTAATGCTCAGGGAAAAATCCTTTTTTTTGGTTGCCTTGGTTTCATTGAATCTTTTCTATATCTTTAATATAATCTTTCATATAATCTTTAACTGAATATTGTCTGTTCATTACACTTGAGAAGCAAGTGTAGTGTAATAGTACGAACCTTCTTTTTTTCCAACCTAAGTCGCAAATAATGCTGCCTCTTTTGGGGCACCTTTACGGCTTTTTCATACCATGGGCTTTGACATTCGAATAGTAATAAGTTGCCACGGTTGATGCATTTTTAACTCTTCAAATGAACCGAAAGAATTGATTTGTTTCAAATAACATAACAAAAATGAAAATTCGAATTCAGAAATTTACTAACTCAATATATCTCAATCAATTTTTTGAAATGCATAATTTATACATTATTTGGCTTTATGCTTTTCAATTTGTTACATGCAAAATTGAGTCTATTTGTATTTGATGCCACTTTTGCCACTTATGAGCATATCTTGCTGCTTTATTCGTGACTAGTGTTTGTCGGTGTTGGTTGTAAAGATTGCGTGGCAGAGTGGATAGTGCGCGAGACTCAAAATATCTTTATTGCAGTAGGTCGCAGATCGAATCCTACACCTATCCGAGTTTTTGCAAATTCGAGGCCCATTTCCATTTCTTCTTACTGCATTTTCTAGACCTGTTTTTGGTTGTGTTCTCGCAAGTGTTTACGAAGCGCAGATTCGCTTTTGTTTTAACTGATTTTTTCCTTTTTGATTTTTAATTAAAATTTTAATTAAAAGTCTTTACTGAATTTTGAACGTAAGTTCAGAATATCATAGCGTTAAATTAAATTTTTTGCCTTTTTTATTGCCTATTTGAGTGTCTTTTATTTTTGCCTTTTCAAAAGTGCATGATTTTTGAATGATGCAAAATCATGAAATCAGTTAACTTTCAGGAAAAAGATTTTCGTCTGATCTGTAAGTTTGTGTGGGTCTTAAAAAATCACGCGGCCAATTCTTACTTATTTTAATTTAACGCCTAAGTATTTGTTTTTTTTTCTGGTAAAATTTGGCAGAAAAGATTTTTATATTTTTAGCATATTCCAAGATATGCTCTGATTTTCTTTCAAGTTTTAATTCTCGATGCATAGAAAAATAATTATTGTCATTTTTTCGTTGTCAAAAATTGTACAAATGTTTTTAATTTATGTTTTTTTTTGCGTTTTGAAAATTTGATTACAAAGTTTACTTGCAGAGAGAAAACGTATGTTTTTCAAAAAACAGGTTGAAAAAAAAGAGTTTTTTGAAGTTCTTTTTTTTTATTGTGGTCGAAACTTTCACAGCAACCAGCAAGTTGCACAGCAACCAGCTTTTCTTGTTCATGCTTTTTGTTCGTGCTGTTTTTTAAATATTTTTCATATACACCAACTTAACTTTCTTTTCATATCCATGTAGCATTGTGCCTGGTATCAGTGACCTGTTGCTCACTCTAAATCTCAGTATGGTAAGACAGTCCTTGCCATTTGATCCCTTGTGGCGTCTCCTCCAAGGTCTGCTGTGCTGACCATTCGCTCTATTCATTTGAGTTTCATCTATCCTCGAAATGCAACATATGTGCACTGTTTATTGTAGAACATGCTGAATTGAAACAGTCAAGTTTTTCTTACTAGGAGAAATTTGCTGTCAACTCAAAACACTTCACTGCTAAATCCAGACTCACTGTCTTTCCAGAAAACATTGTTGCGTTGGCCTGAAATTTTTTCACGGTCATGGTCGCTATTGTAATCCGTTTTCAAGTTTGGCGATTATTTTTTGGATTGGGAGGCGTGTCAGATACTTTCTAAGCTCGTATCAGCCTAACATTTGGTTAATATCACTAGACTTATTAAAATACCACTTCTGTAAGCCAATAGAGTTTATTGGTAATCTATTGTTTAAAGGTTGTTTTACCATTTTTTATAGCCTACCGATAACTGTTATGTAGCGTTTCCGCGAGTGCGTATTTTGTGGTCTTAGAAGTAAAATTACATTACATGATTCAATTAATAAATATATTTGTGATATGCAATCAATGCAAATCATTCTAAATGGTATGCAGTGTTTTAAGTTGATCGCACGTCTTGTGGCTAGACGCAAAAATTATTCCTTTTTTGTTCGTTAAGTTGGTGCATGGTGTTATGTTGGCTGAAAAATATAAATTGTTTGAGTTACTTTCAAAAGATATATCAGCGACCGGCCCCTTGTTGTTACTAATAAAAGGCCGTCAAAGTTTTTCATACCAAAAGGTACTTAAAAGGCATCCAGAGTTCTCTTGTGCGAGTCAAGTTAAGCCAAATGGACTGCCAATTGGTAAAACAGAAAGTTTTGAATTAAACTGCTAGCTGAAAATGTACATCAGCTTAATTGTATAAACTCATTGGCGTTTTTGTTTAGCTTAAGTCTTATTTACACTCAAGTGCGTTTCTAGTATTTGATCCCTTTTGAACGCTTGAAAAGACATTCAGGGGAAGTAACTAATTTCCTCGGATAATAGTTTGACTTAAACTATTATGAAATTACAGAGAAACCCCCTAATATGATTTGTTTCTATCGTGTATTCCACGACATTACAAACTATATGTTAGTTTATTTGCAGTTATATCGTCTTGAGCCCTAATTGTTTTTTAAGTTTTCTGTTACGATTGAATCTCAACACATCGGTTTATTTGTGTGCTGATTATTTATTGAATGCTATTTTTTTCAATTGTTTCATTGTTAACTCAAGATAGACTACCACTTTTGTTCTTGAATGGCCGGCTTTTGTTCACCATTTCCTACCCGGTTTAGCTGAACGTGGCGGTTGGCGGATCGAAGCGTCGGCTAAGTGGGCGCAACTCCTACTCCGGCGGCAACAGTGGACTCCTCGGTGCATCGGGTCACAGTGCGAAGAGTCTCAGCAACCTCAGTGCAGACCCATCTTCTTCAACAAATAACAACAACAATAATCATTTGCATTTCAACTTCGTCACACAGTCGAACAACCTCTACTCTCTAGAACAGCTGCAACACATGCACAATGGGTCAGTGTTTTTATGTCATGGTTGTCATAATGCCTTCTGTCGATAAAGCAAAACACAAGGTTCCGATCACAGTCATAAAAAAGTTCCGATCACAATCATTTTTTTTTCAAATTGTGTTGTGTTTTTGTTCGTGGCGCATATCTTAACCGAGGAATATTCGATTGCAATAGTAAAAAAAAGGCATATTCGACAACAGTTTTCCTCGAAAAGAGAATTGAAAAACAAAACAAAACAACATCAAGACTTAAATTTTCTGTTCTCAAGGTGGCGCTTAAATAAATCTCGAAAATTAGTTTTACTGGTGTAAAAATACGAATTTTCACAGCTTCCATAAAAGCTGATCGCTTTATTATAGGCCTGCTGGCTCGCTTTATTTGCACGAAATAAGACTAAAGTGGTTTTTGAATGTTCGAATCACGACTGAAAGGGCTTTAATATTCATGATATATCACTGGACCCATTCCAATGGTGATGTGCAGTACCTGATTTTGCTTTACAAAACACCCGGAGACAAAGTTTCTCAGCGCCAAACTCAGTGCCAGTGATCGGAACAAAATTGAAACGAAAATTGCGCTGGTTTTAGTTCGATCCTAGAAGAGGACGAGAAAGACTCGGCAGTAGGGGGGAATCCAGCATCGGGTGGACTAGACGACTCCACGATGACGTCAGCTAGCCACCACTCTTTCCACAGCACATCATCCCATCCCCACTCTGCTCAAGGCAGTACAGTAAACTCACCCTACACATCAACCCCGCATGCATCATTCAAACATGGCAGGTCCATCTCCATGCTCACTGGCAGTTCCTCCAACACATCGACATTGGAAGGAGACCGTTCTCAAACAAGGTGGGTGTGCTGACAAGAATACTGATTAGTAAGTAGATCCGAGTTATCTCCTACAATTCCAAAAACAGCTACAATTCCACTTTTTTAACCAAGAAACAGCGTTCTTGAAGATTGATTTAGGCCTGATCATTATATCAAGCCTTCCGATATAAAACACAAAAGACAAGTGTACATTTTCTATAGAAAAAGTTGTCACGTAGTTTTTACAACACGGTAATTGCTACAGTTTTTGTAAATTAGACAGGCAATTTTACTAAAAGTGGTTCTTTGAATTCTCTTTGCCTTATCTTTAGCTTGGACAACATATTCTTTGAATCCATTTTGGCTCTAGCTCTGTATTTTTATAGTGGCTTCTCTATTGGTCTGAGACCCAGCTCTAGTAGTGGGCGGAACAACAAGATAGGAGGGCTGGACAAAAGGGACTCAATTGGGTCCATTCGCACCAAGAGCACCCCAGACCTCACTTTGGGAATGGGGTACGAGAAGATGCGACAGAGTCTAGAGTCTATCAATGACTGTGAGTTGAAGCAATTGATGAGACAACATTTCTGTCTAATATTTTGAGCTTTGTTCTGTGAAGCTTGTCAAGTTTTTAACATGCGAATGAACGAAGTGAAGAGACTTATGAAGATCGCGTTTTCTTCAGATAAATTCTCAAAATTTGTTCACGCTCAAGTTTTTTTTCAAATCATTAATTCTAAAAGGCAGGCAAGTTGCTATTCTCCAATAAAAAACGCCAAATGGCGTAAAAAGGCGAATGGCGTCTAGTTTCAAAATTGGGTTTTCGTTTTTAGGATTTAAGTGATTTAAAAAAATTTCTCACATACATAACCTGACAAAAGTCCCGGAGAAACTTTTCAAAAATGATGTCGCATTTCGCTTACTTGAAAATGTTTAGGCTCAAAACTGATCTTAAACTATTATTTTTTGTTTATAAGTTACTCCCTTTGTTTTCAGCCGTGGATTCAATAAATGCACAGAAGGCTGGAATTTTAATTGAACCCAACTCCAGTTTCCTGAATCCAGAATTCCCAGAACTGGTGGACATGGAGACCAGGTATGATAAGAGTTCTTTTGTTTGAGAGCAATGTTGATTCATGTGCGTTGCCTGAGGATAAGGCAACATTACCCAATGAAAAAATAAATTGTGTGTAGTTTTTAACCAAAGGCACAACTGCGGTTTTATGTCAAGCCTTTTCTCTGCTGGAATAATTGTCTTAACTTAACACCCCAATTTAACCCAATTCATCAGTTTTCTAGAAAAGTTTGAATTGTTAAGTTGTTACTTTACCTCAGTTTGGATCCTGTTTAACATGCCCCTGTTGCAAGGGAGGTTATTCGTTACTAGTACAGATTATGCACAAGCTTAATGATTGAGCTAGTCTTTTCATTTTATAGCAGTCGAATTTTTTAATTAGGTGCCTCAAGGAGAATAGTTAATTAGATCCCTTATTTGAACTGTTTTTTGTTTTTTTTTCAGATGGGACAAGACAGTGCCAGACTGGTTAGTGAAGGGACTGCAGAAGTACTCGGTGCAGGAGCAGAGTGCAATCCACGAACTACTCACCACTGAACACAACTTCCTCCGAGAACTTGACCTGGTCGAATTGTACATCGACAACATCAACCACAGGTACGGATCTCTTGCAGGTTTTTACTCGCTGTCTTAGATTGATTGTTAATGAAAAAGAAAACTGAACGCAAATTTTTTTTCTAATTTAGTTTCTTGGCTGAAATGAGATGGTTGAAATGAGTGTTTTTAAAAGTCAACGAAGTGAAGAAACTTACATGGTCGTGATGTTTGTTTTTCTCGAAAATTTTTTGCACTCTCAAAGTTAATTTTTCGAGGTCTGACTTTTAATGAATTCTTTTCAGTTCAATTCGAGTTCGTTTGCTGAGATGCAGGCAGTTTCTGCTCTTCAAAAACAACAACATTAGTTCGTTTTAAAAAAAATTCTCAGTGAAATATAGAATTAGCATGCCTCAAATTGGGTGTGTTTTATCTAAGAAGTGCTTGTCATAATTGTGATGAGCTTTAAAATTATTACGATAAGCCAATTATGAAAGAGTTATGAGCTTTAAGGTTATTGTTCTGACCATTCAAAACGGAGAGGAACTTTGTATTTGGCTGTGTTGCAGTTTTTTTTCAAAAAGTTATCCCAGTATCGAAAAAAAAACAGGTGTAAAGTTTTTGGTTCTGTTTATGAATTCGAATAAGTCCAAACTTGGTCTCAAATATTGTTGCGACGCTAATATTATTGCGACAACATGTGTTCCATTTGATCAATAACCAGCTATGAAGTACAGCCAATGCTAAAGATATTAATACAGACTATTATATTACAAATAGCACTTTAGCTTCAAGGTATCATGGATCTGTAGCGTAGAGGTAAAGAAGGAGACCCACAGCAAAATAAGAGGGTATGAAACTGGGCAGGGTCGGATGTTTTAGTGAAATTTTTGGTATACTAGCTAGAATGCGTCCGCTCTATAAATTGAGGCAAGTTAGTTGGTAAAATTCTTTTTTGTTAAAATTGTCTGGTATTGCTAATGCGTCATAATTGGCTTGCGTCACTTAGCAATTATGGACACTCATAATAGGAGTGCGTTACTTGAGAAATTTTATAGACTCAAGGTTTTTTTTCATTCAGTTTTTCCCAGTAGCGTTATCGGTCATATTTTTGCTTGGTTATGCGAAGTGCAACTTCGCCTCTGTGTTTATGCTTAATTTAAGCCATGCAATCGTAGTTTTACTTGAGTAAATTTAGTTGTTGGTGTTTTCAGCGCCATTTTGCGACTCTAAAATTCAAATGAGTTTTTATTATATGATTTTTGTTTCGATTTTTTTGTCAGAGTCGATGAACGTAGTTCAGACTCTTAAATAGATCGAGATGATTTTTTCTTTTTTTTAGAACTCTTAAAATTTGTTCAGGCTCAATTTTATTTGCGTGGTTTGAATTATGAGTTTTTTCAAGTTCACTTCATTTCCTTTGTTAAAAGGAAGGCAAACTCCACTATCGAACAGCGAAAGGGTAAAGGTCAAGAAAAACGTGATCGACTTCTAATTTAGAAGATGGAGTTTAATTTTCAGATTTCGCAGCCACAAAATTTTTACCATTTGATCCACTTCTGTTGATTTGTCAATCATAAATTGTTCTAGAATATCAAATAGCTTTGAGAGCATCATCATCATCATGCTGCTTTCAATATTTAGACACCTTTCCTTGTTCTCAGAGGGGTTAGTTGATATATCTTCGTTTCTTCGTCGGCTGTTTCTCGTATTTTGTGGGGTTGCGTTGTTTCCGATTCTTCTTTTCTATGTTTTCTTAAATTGCACTTCGTCGTATATTCATTAATATAAAATGCTCGAGCCAGTAAAAACAGAGCTTTTTTGCTCCTAAACAAGTCTACCCTCAAGTGGGTACATTAGCTGAGGAGCTTAAGAGGAGAATACAGATATTTGCTCAATTCATGTAGCTTTTCAAGTTTCTGGTGCAAACCATCTGAGGACATAAAACTCATTCCCAACTTAGTTTCATGGCAAGCAATTTCAAGATCTCCTGTAAGTTTTTTTGTACATTTCGTTCAACGCTTTCACTTCTTTTTCCCAGACCGTCCAGCTGTTTTCATCAATACTACTTGAAAGTTTTCAATCTTAAATAAAGTATCCAGTCTCTTCATTTTTTTCATCAAAGCCATCCCTTATAACTAGATCATTTGTTCCTCCCATTATTGCAACTATTTCAACGTTTTTGCGTTTTGAATCATTCAGTACATTCTGACTGGCTAATGCATTAAGGCCAGCTCCGGGACACGACACCGCAATTGTATCTTACAGATAACTGCCGTTCACAGTTGAATCACTAATGACAGCTTGTATAAAAGATTATTTAAACTCAGTGACCATTGATGATATGATTTGAGACTTTCTCATCCAATACAACTTTTTGTTAGCAGATTCTCAATTATTGCATCTTTATTTGAAGGCATGATATAAATATCTTAAATTATTTGTTTCCATCGTTTCCTTGTCAGCTTTTCAAACAACTTCAATCTTCAAACTTTCGAAAAATTCTTCCTACAAAGAACAGTAGAAATTGACTCTCGAATGGTTACGTTACCACAATTTATAGCAGAAACTCATATAAGAGAACATTCAATTTGATCCTCAAGTTAAACCCCAACGGGTTAGATAGCCACTTTTATTTTGTTTGAGATAAAAATGTTTCCTAAACAGGCAAGTTTTGAAATGTTTCAAAATTTTTGGCTAACAGCTTGTAATAGGCTAATGATAATAGAGCTAAGGCTAATATATTTGTACTTGAAATTCAACGGTTGAAAAATTTTCTTAAATATTTCAATTTTTTTTTCGGTTCATTGACACCTTTCAACTCTGTTGGCTAGGTGTGTATAGTTTCAGTTATAATGGGTATAATTATTTCATAAGATTTTGATAATTATTTTGGATGAAATTAGGTTCAAAACGTATCACGATTATAACGCTCCAAAAGCTTTGTTGATTTTAATGGCTTTTAAATTCGATGTGAATTGAAATAAGTTTAATTCTAAATATTTTTCTAGACTAGATTGGCGGCAATGGAATGTAACCAAGCAGATGGGAACGCACGCTGCTTCTGACGTCTCCAGCTATCTTTTTGGAGCACCGGAAGTGAGGACTACCTTAGCGGCACTATCTAAGCGGCTGTTGAAGAAACTGACAGAGCGGCGCAGCTGGGCCAGAAGAGAAGGGCCCAATGGGGAGGAACCTCAGTATGTGATGGATGTATCAGCGGTACTCTATAGTCATGTAAGTGCAGATTTCGTTGCAAGAAAAATTTAGATAAAAATCGATTACATGAATTTTGTTTTGAATTTTTTTAGAATGAGTTTCCGAGAGTATTTAGCCTAAAATTTTGGAATTGAAAAATATTGCAAATGGAGTCGACAATTCATCCGCCTCCTTAAGGTGGGACAGGCTGCGGCGAATTGGATGACATCTCCCTCCCCACGGTCTTCCTGCACTAAGCAGGCCGGGGGCTAATACAAAAAAAAATCGTCTGTTAACTTTAGTTAACTATCGGTTGGCTATGTTCTAACTTAAGTGTTTTTGTTTTAGTTTTGTGATAGAGACAATATTGACAGTTACATCAAAGCGTTTCATAGGCTGACCATCAGTCAGGACACAGCGAAGAAATTTTACGACGACGCCAGAGAAAACATGGCAGAGTTTCGCAAATTTGTCAATGAGTGCAGTAAGAACCCGGCAATGAAGCGACGAACATTACTGGACACAAGAGGTGCCATAATACAGAGACCTCACAAGTACCCGGCGCTTATTTCTGCACTGATAAAATCAGCTCAGAAAGAACTGGACGCTGAAAAAACGCAGTCGGCAGCCGAGAAATTAGAAAGGCTAAACAGTTGCCAAAAAGCTGTGAATACGATTTTGACCCAGATTGATAAACTGTTGAGAGAACACCAAATGAGTGAATTGTTGAAAGATATCTGGAGTAAAACGGACAGCAAGCCATTAACTTTGGAAATGAGGGATCCGAGTGATAGAAGGTCAGAAGTGAGGCTGCCGTTTGAGAAGCGATCTATCGAGGCAATGAAAACAAGACTTCTGAAGCCGTTCACTGTGAAGTTGACGACGGAGGGTATGAAGGACAAAGTGAAAAATGTGTTGATTTTGGTCATGGAAGACTGTCTGATACTGCTTGAAATTAAGGCAAGTTGCGATGTTCTTATCAAAAATGTGATGATTGAACAAACAATTCATCTAGCAAAGATCATCACACTAGCAAGGATCAGCAAACGAACTCTTTAGCGTGAACCGCGGTTGTTGTCATAAAAAAGAACTGCGAACCATTTTTGAGCTTGTTCGTTTTTCAAAAAGTGAATTATGAACAAGTTGAAAAAAGGATTATTAACTTTCTATATAGGTTGTTTAAGAGTCGACTCCTATGCTTGTTTTTTTTTACAGAAAAAGTTTTTAAATTTTTTCAGGCTCAAGTTTGCTTTTTTGCAGTTTGAATTATGATTTTTTTCTAAAGTTCAGTTCATTTCCTTTGTTTACACTAGCGTCAGCTGAGTGCATTATTAAGAAACTTCTTTTTTTCTAATCTAATTCGCAAAAATTGGTGCCACTTTTCGGGTACCATTACAGCTTCTTGATAGAATGTGCTTTGACATTCGAATAGTAATAAGGGGCATGCATTGTTTTCTCTTAAATTTGAAAATCTTTCAAAATTTTAAAATCTTTCGTTATTTTAAATTTTAAAAAAGTCATTTTTTTTCTGTTTCCTTGTGCTTGTTGTTTTAAAAATTGTTTTTTGAGGTTGTTAATTTTTTAGGCGTCGGTTGGTTGAGTTAGGTCTGATTGACCTAATGGAATTACTGAATTTGTTTTTTTTTGTTAAGGACCCTAACGCGCCTCAATATATGCTTCTGTCTGTGCCCAAAGTTGTTCCAGTGATGATGGCAGAGACCATGATCATCTCAGCTGGAGAGACTCTAAGAGACGAACAGGTTCATTTGATTGACAAGAAGTACCCCTCTCTCAGTACAATCACACTCAAGTCTAGGACAGAAAAGGACGATTTCTTCAAGATTTGCAATTCCATTAAGCCAGGAGTAGGGACGTCCTCTAGCTTCACAGCAGCTGAAGGTCACTTAGGGTCAGGAGGATTTGGCAAGCCCAAAAATCACAGTACGCAATAATAATAATCATAATAAAATTAATAGTAATAATAAATATAAATTGTTTACAGGCAGAAAATTTAGAAGTTCACAATACATGCCAATAGCAAATTTAATAGTGAAATGTTAGCTTCGGACTTTGTTAACATAGTACTTTTTACCTTAGCGAGCTAACAAGCGTAATGTATTAGTAGGACTTCGTTTTCTAACTAACTCGCAAATAAAAAGCCTCATTTGGTGGCACTGTTGCTATGATCACGATCTGCAGCATTGGAAATTACGTAGCATCTGATCTCTGCTTATTAGTGGCTAGTGTTTGACATTAGTTAAGCGTCCGTGCCTGAGAGGGAATGACGCGAGACTCCAAATCTCGAGGTCGCAGGTTCGGATCCGACACAGCAGCAAAAGTTTTACTATTTCGAGATGTATTTTTAGTGGATCTTATTTCTTTTCAAAGAGCTCCTTTGTTGACGGTTTCTCGCTAGTGTTTGCGAAGCACAGCTTCGCCTGTATAAATCTTGTTTTTAGTTCTTACATGGTGTTATTTTGGCATATGAACTTGTTGTTTTTAAATCATTGAGCATAGAAAAAGAATTTGCATGTCACAATGGAAGTGAAATTTACTGTTGCGATCAGCTTAGTGTGTTATTACGAACCTTTTTTTTCTAATTTAACTTGCAAATAAAAGTCTTCATTAAAAGTGTTGACTTATTTGGAAATTTCAGTGTAGCATTGGAAATTGCATAATATCTGTTCTCTGCTTGATTTGTGGCTAGTGTTTGGTGCCTATTAAGCTTCTGTGGATGATTGGTTAGTGTGTGAGACTCTCATTCTCTAGTTCGCAGGTCGAATCTCAGAGGTAGCCGACTTTTTACTAATTCGAGGCTTATTTCTAAATTTATTATTGCACTTTATAGAGCTGCTTGTTGTCGTGTTCTCGCAAATGTTTGGGAAGCGAAGCTTCGCCTCTGTGTTTGAATTATGTTAATTAGCGGCAATGGTCGTTGTTTCAAGACTTTTTACTCGCGAATTGATTTAATTTATAGCGGATTTTCGGATATATTTATAGCGGATATATTTATAGCGGATTTATAAATATGCAAACAGTGGATAGCTTGATCATAACAACAACTAATTTTTTGCGAGCCAAATGATTATTGGAGTCGGGCTTGCTAGTTATTTCAAAACATTCTAGTAGTAGAATAATGCGATCTCTTTAATTTTTCGCCCCTAGGGTACCTAGTATTGAATTTTCATCCCTATTAGGAAAAAAATCAACGGTGCTATATATGTAAACTTTGTACCTATTAACGAATGTCCCTACCCATTTTGCAAAAGGGGGAAACAGTTAAAGAGATCCGAAAAATGCTATCATAAAAAAGCATTTGCTATCCCAAAATGAGGAGGAAAGATGGAGTTGTCAAATTTTTCCAATAGGAGGTTAATTCTGTCTAGAATTAGTTTAGATCAATTGAGAATTTTTGTTTTAGGCTTTAAGAGCACCTCTACCCCTGCCCAGAGGTCAAACTCGCAGTCGAAACTGCAGGGCAGTCAAAACTCAAACTCAATTCTAAATTATACACCATCTATCGTCACAACAACTGACTCTTCAGGAACTGGAGGAGGCGGCGGTAGTATCGGCAACTCATCCTCATTTAAGAGTCATGACTCGAGGTCAGAGTTGGACGTACATGAGTTATTTTGATCATTCTAACCATCCCCATATATGGTGTCTGGTAAAAAGAATATCCAACATTAGGGCCATTTTGAAGTTCTACAAAAACTCTGGAATGATAATTTTGGAATGATAATTTTTCTGATACATTTTTTGTCATATTTCTTCAGTTCTTTAGTATTCCTGAATTTGTCCGATTTGCTTTCAAAAGCAATAGATTGTCTGAAAAGAATTCTTTGAACCCATCAAATCTGTTCGATGCTACGTCTAAGTCCAATATTTTGAATACTTCGCAGGTATCTCTCAGATCATTTATTGATGTTTCAGGTCAACAACCACAGATACCCACACCCTGGAATTGCCAGAACTCGTTATCCAGAAACCCTCTCTGTCTAATAGTCCAGGCTTCAACACATCGTCAATGGGTAGTCTAAATGATAGTTTCATTTCGATGGGGGACCAAGTTAGTGTGTTTACTGAGAGAGGCGCAGAGGAAGTGGAGGAGGGTGGTGGGAGTAGTAGTCAGGACAGTTTGGGGGTGAAAGTGGAAGCGTGTTATGATCAATTGAACCAACTCCTGGACGAGATTTTCTGCCACAAGGTAAATTAAGGCTCTTGCTGGTGCGCGTTGATTTTTCTCTTTTGTTAAATCAAATTATTATCGAACTTACTAGTGAAGTTTTTACTACTTATCTCAAATAAGTAGTGAAGATGCTGCGGCTCTTTCCCCACCCCACATGCGATTGTTTACTTGTAACTTTTTGCCTGTTTACTACAAACGTTGGGCTACGGACTAATTAGGTCATCTTTAGCATATTTAGTCTTCATACTTAGCCCTGTAAAACCCCCGTTATACCATAAAAATGATTCTTATATGAGGTGGTGGGAGGAAAAAGAGCCGATACTGATAATGGTCATGTTTTTTTCTCTCAAAAAAACGGCGCGAAAAAAACGTAAATGACATTTAGTTTCAAAATGGATTCTAATTTTCAGATTTCCCAGCGGAATCAAAAAGCTATCTATTCATCGCATTGAATCTAGCTGATAATTTTCTCAGATTTGATTACTTTTATCAAAAAAAGTATCAATCATAAAATAGTTTCGAGGCGATTTTTTCAGGCAAATTGTTTCGAAAACTATATAATTCATTTGACTCTTCTTCAACTGTCTGTTGAACGTCATGAAAGCATTTTCAGTTTTCTATTTTTTAACCGTTTTTTATTAAGAGTTGATGAACTTTGATAAGACTCGTAGATAGGTCATGATGATTTTTTCTCAGAAAAAGTTTGAAATTTGTTCAGGCTCAACTTTGATTTTTAGCAGTTTGTTTTTTGATTTCTTTTTAAATTCAGCTCATTTCATCTGTGTAAAGGAAGGCAAACTCCACTGTCGAACAGTGAACGTGTAAAAGCTATGAAAAGCGTGACTGACATCTAATTTCGAAAATGGAATTTAATTATCAGATTTTCCAGCGAAGTACAAATTGTATCTTTTGATCCAGTTTTCTCGAAGTGGCAAATTTTATCAAAAAAGTATCAACATGAAAAGATTTAGAAATTCAAAGCGTTTTTTCATATTGGGTTCATTTTGTCAGCAAAATGCCAATCATAAATTGTTATTGAAATTCAAAGAGTTAAAAAGCATCTATTTTTTTCTTAGAAATTTGAAAATAGGTATTTTTTGGGAAAAAAATCAGTTCATTATTTTTGGTCTACTTTCGTGCATTTTCTTTTCCAAGTGTTTGTTGGCTACGTGATTTTTGAAAGTCAGTTGTTCTTTTTTCTAGCGCTCCTTTGCTGAAGTTGCGTATATGATCTGCATTGAGTTCACTTTTTTTGCATCTCGATGACTCAGCATAATCCTCGGAATGAGCTTAATATCTCGCGAGACAACTTTTAACTGCCCAATTGTGAACAATTTTATCAAAAACAATCAGAATACCGTCAAGAAAAATCTTGTTTTGATACAACCAAATACGTATTCACAAATTTCCTTTTCCATTTTGTTTTTTCTATTCAAACCGTACTCGCTGTATACACTGGTGAGCTAGCGAGCGTAGCGTATTAATGTGACTCTATTTTTTTCCAAACTAAATCGCAAATAAAAGTTCAGTGGCACGATTGCTATGATAACGATATCTGTAGCATTGGAAATTTCGTAGCATCCGTTTTTTTGCTTTAATTGTGGCCGAGCGTTAAGCCTCCGTGGCAGAGAGGGAATGATGGGAGACTCCCAATGTTGAGATCGCAGGTTCGAGTTCGACATATCGCAAAAGTTTAACGAATCCAAGTCTTATTTTTACGTTTTTATTTTCGTTTTTAGAGCAGATTTTTTGTCATTTTATCGCTAGTGTTTGCGAAGCCCAGCTTCGCTTTTGTGGAAAACATGGTCTCTGCTTTTTACGAGAGATTTTTCAAATATTTTGTTCACTCAGGTTGCACTTGCTGTTGTTGAATTATTTTTTTTTGTTTTTGTGAAATAGCACCGGAAATATTTGCCATTACTCTATGTTTTTTGCGTTAATTGGGCCAGAGTTTATTTTGTTAGGACCGCAATGTCTTGATTTTGTTTCAGCTTTCTATGAAATTGAAAATGGAAGGGAATATATTTATTTAGAGTCAATGAATCGTCGTGGTGTTTTTTTTCAGGAAAAATTCCGTTTACGCTCGAATTTCTTTTTTCCTTATTTAAATTGGATTTTTTTTCAGATGGATGAAAGTAAACATTTTGGCTCACGGTGCGTTACTTTTGCGAAGTAAAACATTTCACACGCTACTGCTCGTGAACTAAAATTGTTCTCAAGTTGTTTTTTTTCTAGTCCTTGGAGCAAGGCGAATCTCTCAAACAGAGCATCTCGTCTCTCATGTCCGACCTCTCACAACTGAAGAAATCAACTACTCTCATGAACCAGTCTCCACTCCACGATCCCACCAAGAGCAACCCTCCAAATTATCCTGTCTCCAGGCTAGTGCACATTGAAATTTTTCAGTAACTTATAATTGTAATTTATTTTTGTTTATAAGCTCACCTTCATCCTTCATTATATAAAAAAAAGAAATTGCCGGAAGTTGCTGTTCGAAAAATGGATTGAACAAAAACAGCGCAAAAAATTCGATTGAAAAATGCAATCATATTTCTTGTGAATGCTATTTTGACTGTTCTTCAGGTCGGAGAGCTGTAGAATGAAACTTGCGTTATCAGCCAATGAGAGTGAGCTATTGAGTGCGTTTGAGAATGGAGGGGGTAAGAGACCCCTCAGCTTCACCCCTGCTGATTCCAACTCAGGTTTCCACAAGACAGAAGGGGGAGGGGGTAAGAGTGCCAGTGGCAGTGGTGGGAGTGGGAGTGGTTTGGAAGGAGGGAGGGGAGTGGGAACCAAAGCGGACTCATACCAATCAACCAGTGCAATATTCGACACTCCACAGAAAGTTTGTGATTGATAAGCCTGCACTTCGAGAGGTCGTCTCATTGCCGAAAAAAATTTCAAGTTTCAATGATTTTTTTAAATAACTTTTTTAGCTCAGAAACTTTTTGTATAATTAAAAATTTACCGTTTTGGTGTGCTAATTTATTGGCGCCAAATTTGGAAAGGCTTCACTTCGAGAGGTCGTCTCATTGCCGAAAAAAATTTCTATGATTTTTTTAAATAACCTTTTTAGCTCAAAAACGTTTTGTAAAATTAAAAATTTAACGTTTTGGTGTGCTAATTTATTGGCGCCAAATTTGGAAATTTCGTGTTTATAAATTAAAATAGAAGGAATGAAAACAGTTGCGGTGCAATATTGGGAATTTGGGAATATTGAATTTGAGTGATTTTTATTTTGTTTCAGAGAACAGTTCATTGCAGTTGTGGAAGTGACACCTCAGAATACATTGCAGAGTAAGTTTGAGACCATACGTCTTTTTTTGCTGAGCGCTTTGTGCCTTTTTGACTTCTTTAGTTTCTTTTAGGTTGGAGAAATCAATTTTGTGTAAAAACGAATATCTACATGGTGCGAAGGATTACATATCCAGGTAAAATTTATTCTCAGTTATGCTTCCTTTAGATCTGTTTCGCCTCCAGTTGCTCAAGTTATTCCTCTGGTGAACTATTTTATTAAACTATATTCATGATTCGCAACAAATGACCCAAAATTTTTTTCAAGGCTAGAGAGTGAGGTAGAGAAAAAGAACAGTGAACTGATGAAGAGCAAGAAGGACACTCTGGCCATACAGCTGGACTCACTCGTCAAGGAGAGCAAGATCAAATCCATACGCCAGTAAGACCACAGCGACCCTATTTAGACACACAAGCCCACGCACAACTAACCGAAAAATAGTTTATCATTACACTTGCGAGAGCATGTCTTGTAATGGGTTACTAGACTTTTTTCCTGTTAACAACTGTTCGCACACATTTTAAAGAAATTTTGATGTTGCTTTATTAGTGAACTTTAGCAACTTCGACATTATTTGCCACTTGGCCTAGAGGTAACGCGATTGCGTTTGTACATTACGGTCGGGGGTTCATGTCCCTTGCAGGACCTTATTTTTTCGGCATCTATGAAATTGAAAGTTATTTTCACGAAAAAATTTGAATGGTGGGACTTGTGTTTTATCGGCTTGGCTTGAGTGTTTTTGATTTACTCGTATTCCTTTTCGTTTTTTTTTCGTCTAGAAACTTTTTTTGACCTGAATGGTTTCGGTTTATGTTTTATTGGTTTATTTACTTATTTTCTGTCACTTCAAGAGCAAAAAGTGATTGGTTTTTTAAGAAAAATTGAGGTAGTTTGTGTTGCTATTATTAGAATTTGTTCAGCTTTAAGTTTAGTTTTTCGTTGCTTCTTTTCAAGTTCAGTTAGTTCCTGTTTTTAGACTGGCGAGCTTGCGAGCGTTAGCGTATTATTACGAACCTTCTTTTTTCTAACCTAACTTGCATTGACAAGAGTTAATTATGAGTGTTCACTCATTTGGAAATTTCTCTGTAGCATTGGAAATTGCATAGCATCTACTCTCTGCTTTGTTTGTGGCTGGTGTTTGTTACCTATTAAGCGTCCGTGGCTGAGGCGGAGCGTGAATTTTTACTAATTCGAGACTTATTTTTACTTTTTCTTGTGCACTTTATAGAACTGCATTTTGTCGTGTTCTCCGTCGTTTCTCGCCTCTGTGTTATAAATTCAAATTTCTCAGCGCCTTTGGCGCACTTGAATTGGAGGTAATGAATACGACTGGGACGGCAAATTTCTTGGTTTGAATCTGACAGGACTTTTTTTTCAAACGCTAATTGTTCCGTTTCAAAAATATTTTGGGCCTCTTATTTTTCTGCTTATGTTTTGTCGTCTTAGTTGCCACATCTTCGAATTATTTTTTTTGTTTTACACAAGTTAAATTGTATTTGCTTTTGGTGTTTTGATTTTTTCTGCTATTTGTAATTTTGCTTGCCTTGACTTCGTATATTTCTTTTTTTGTTTTTGTTTATCGCCCAAAAACTTTATTCTGCCCGAATGATTTCGGCATATTTTATACGGACTTAGTGTTCATTTTTTTCGGTTTATTGTTTTCCCTTTTTTTCCGCTCGATAGGGTTCTGCTTATAATAAATCGGCTTAATCGTCTCATATTCCGTCTCCGTCTTTTAACGAGCGAAAAAAGTTTGTATGGGCGTGTGTGTTTTAAGGGTGAGGGGGACATAATAACTTTTTTGAATTTGTTTTCGGCTGTTTTATCAGGTTTCGGCCTATACTATATCGGCTTACTGGCTTCATTTTGTTTCATATGACGAGCAAATTAAGTTTAATGTGTGTGTATTTTGAGGGCGAGGGGGTTTGTTGATACCGCTGGTAATTTTTTGCGATCCCAATTTCACATTCTATTGTCTTGGCGTTTTTTCAGAACTAGCCTTATTCATTTTGATTGATCTAAATTTTTCGACCTTCTCGGTTTTTTCCGACCTAGCGGCTTTCTTGTTTTGTACCGCAAGTGGTGCGAAGCTCAACTTCATCTTTGTGTCTGAAATTGTTCTGAGGTGGATTTTTATACTGCTTGCAGATTTTGGTTGCAAAAAGTAGGTGTAAGAGTCTTAATGTGAGTCAATGGTTATTTAATTTACATCTAATCGCGCTTGACATGTTGCTTTCGATTAAAACTGAATGCGGTGTGCAGTGCTTTGCGGATGTCCCGCCCACTGTGCTTCTTTCAAAAGACTTAACTTAGACTAGAAATACGTATATTATGCACAATGGCAGAGTTTCTGATAAGTTCTAGATTTCAGTTTTTAAAGAACGCGTTTTTAAGCAAATTTTTTATAAGGTTTTTCTTTGGGACTGGTCGCTTATTGAGTTTATGCAGATCAGCAAATACATGTGTTTTTTGCTTGCAGATATGTTAGCATATATTATTAATTGTCAATGAATGAAGTAATCTATCTCTTATTCAGGTCGTTTGGTTCTTTTTTCATGCCTGTTTTTGTTTTTAACTTTTTTAGTTTTTGAAATTCTAAATGATTATTTTCATTGAATCAATTAATGTGATTAATTCTGTTTTCTAAATTTCAAAGATTGTCTTAATTATCTTAAGCTTGGCCAGTGGCGTTTCTCCAACCTCGGTAAATTTTCTCGTTCCCTTTTGAAAAACTTGTGTAACAAAATTACTTGAGTTGAAAAACCCTATCGTTAATGCAAGTATTACACTTGCTAGTTATGCGATTAAGATACGCATAATTAGCTTGTATTTTTATACCTTATTCAAAATTAGAAACGATGTAAAACTAATAAAGCTCAAAAATATAAAAATAAGCTTAAAAATAGCAGTAATTGCACTTGGCTGAATGATGTGTTTTAGAAACCTCGCCCTCAACCCTCCTGTTACCTCCTCTTCCTCCGCAGATCACCAGGAGAATGTTCTAGAATCTTCCTGTGGCTGTGATGGTGACGACATGTGCCACTTCCACCACCTTCAGATCAACCAGAAGAGAATATCGAATCACATGAATCACAGAGGTTTGAGGCTTCCAAGATGCTCTAACTAGTTGACCACTAATTCTGCAGCCACTTTGAAAAATATTTCCAAAATTTATTCTATTCTGTAATAAACTATTCTGATTTTGAGCTGTTTCTCGGGCCTCATTTTGACGATTAATTTTGAAATATAACTGGATGCATAAAAAGCAGTCTTTGCATTCTTCATTTGTAAATTTTGTGTAATGACTTGAGGTCTGACTTGATGTAGGTTGTTTTTTATGACTTATTTGAAAAAAAAAACTTTTCAAAAAAGGTGTAAAACAAGCTCCTTTAAAAAAAACTACTACGTATATTGTTCGTCTGCTCATTTATTGAATTATTTAGGCTCAATAGGCATGGACAATAGGGATTCCGCTGAAAGTGAACATCAAGAGTCTTTTCCGAAGATCACAATTAGAGAAATAGCTGACAATGAGTCATCGCTGTCACCCTCACTAAGCGAGAGCATATCGCCTCCTGTAGATAATTTAAAGGTCAGTAGTCGAGTTAATATAAGCGCTCTTTTAAGTCGTGCGAGAAGCCCGGGGTAAAAACTTTAGAAACATTTTAGTTGTTTTTCGTAATTTTTCAGTTAAAAGTTAAACATCATATACATATTATCTTTCCCGAAGACGAGTTTTGTAATAAGGTTTGTCCCATGTTTTAAAATTTTCAGGCTATTCTAAGTGTGCTCTCGATTTAAAATTGAAAATCACTCGAAACGTATTCATACATACGGCGGTGTTCGTTCATGAGTTATTTAATGACAAATAACTAAATCATAGTGGTATAAAATGACTCAAATTGAGGTTGAATTGACGTAATTTTGAAGAGGTGTCCTCTTGAAGTGTGGTCGAATTGAGAAGAAAGTTGAATGAGCCGACGATCACTGGATTAAGATGATTAATATTCTATTTGATGTACGCCTGAGGCTAGACATATCAGTTGCATGTTAAATCACCTATGAAGCGTAATCTTAAGTGAGATCTTGGTTATTGATGGTGTTTTTTTCATGGCTATGAGTATACCCCTAGTGATTTAAATAGCGTGACAACCGTAAATGGATATTCGAAATCTTAGCATAATGCTTTTTTGAACGTAAGTGTAAACTATCCGAAAGGGATTGATCGATCATAAAAAGGTCTTCGGAAATGGCACATTCTATTTCAAAAATATGTGTACGATGATTTACCACGCCCGTGATTTGATATTCCTTTTTTTCTTTTTCAAACTGCAGCCCATTCAATGGAGCTATCTTTTGTTCTAAATCAAAGCTGATCTCTTTATTATCAAAGGAAATAATACTTGAAAAAATTGTTATGCTGAAGGTGTTTTTGATTTAGAATATTGATTCCGCTTCACTGACCATCAAAGCATCCCCCATGATGTCTCAAACAGTTCTGGCTTCACCTCCTGACATAATATCAACACCAGCTATGACATCATCGCCCCAATCTAACGCCTCAAATTTTATCTACCCTTCATCCGCCCAAAACGCTTCGCAGCCACCCGCATCAACAATGACAACTGTACAGACTAGCAGTAGTAATCAAGTTGGAGGGATAAAAAGAACCCAACCAGTACAGCAGAAAAAATCACCTGCTCAAGAGCTGAAGCAGCAGTTACCGTCCAAACTGATGCTGAGTTCAACATCCAATGAAGGCGCCAAAAAGGGCCAAATGGCCTTTAGTTCGAAGAAGCAACAACCGCAAATAGCCAATCAGAATCAAGCATTTGATAAAAGTGGTGCTAAGAAAAACAAAAGCAGTGGGGATTTACTTGAATCCAAAGATTTAAATTTATATAACCGAAGACGAGGAGGGAATATCCAGAAGCCGAAGGTCGAAGTGGAACCGAGTCCGTCATTGGCACAACAGCAGCAACAATATCCGCGACGCAAAGCAAAAAGTGAAGTCACATCTCCAATGATAGTGCAGGTTAAACATTTATACTAGACTCTTGGTTTTCCCCCATCTGAAAATGTTGAAAACGCATTACAAGTATTTACACATAACAAAATGTATTTACTGTCTCAAAGACTTAAACCTCTGTTTTTGTGTGTTAATCCTTCAAGCTTCAAAGATAATCCTTCATTTTTTATGAAAGCTATGAGGAAGTTTTTTATTTAACTTTGTCCTCAATACTGGATCCAATTAAATGAATGTTTTTGCTTAGTTTTTGTAAAGCAGCGATTCAGGTGTTACTTAAAAGTGTTACGTAATAGCTAATTTCATCGTTTTGTTTGAACTTTAGATACAGCCTGTTGGTGAGCATACTCACATGCCAATCATCAGAACTCCCAGTGGAGGAGCTTCTGATCTGAGATTCTTCAAGCAAACCGAGGACGAAAAAGCGACAGCGAGAAAAGGAGGACAAAATTCAAGTTCGTCGCGCAAAACGTCCTTGAAATCCGTTTTCGGAAGTCGCAGTAGAAAACAATCGGAGGGAAAAGATGGATCCAATAATATCGAGCCGGACTCGGTTGTGGAGCAGGATCCAGATGCGACAACTGGACCTGAAGTGTTTCTGCTATAATAGCTGCGCTATCTTAATGATGTGTATACATATCTCTATCTTTTTACATTCGTCTGACCCGAGGACAAATCGTATGGAAGTAAATCGTGATGTTTCGAGGATTTTTTAAAAAAAGGACTTCACGTGTAGAGTAGAACTCATTCCTTAAACTCATAACGAGAACTGAATTGAAATCAAACTTTCAAATTTCAAGTAGGCTTAAACTTATCAAATTTTTGATCATGAAATCTTTCCATTTGTATTGCTTTCGGAGTAAAATTAGCTATATTATAATGTGTATATTAAATAATGAAAACAGTCTTTGACTAATATTTTGTTGATACTTATCTGTTTATCGAGTAGCGATCTAATCGACATTGAGGTTGAATTAATTTAATATTTATAAAAAAAGTTTTCAAAATATGGTTTATACAAGCAAAGTTTTGTGTCTGTTGTCAGAAACACGTAATAGGCACACTAAATGTGAGATGGGAGTGGGGATGTAGTGGTACAATATTTAAGTTTTGAATCTTTTGCTAACAATGGAGACTCCGCTTCCAGCGCAATAAAAGAAGTACAATTTTATTTGAAATTTAGATCATTTCTTGAAACCAGGTTCATCGGAAGACATCCAAGGCCGGCTGCTGTAGTTTCAAATTCTCAAACCCATATTTGCATCCAGGGGCAATTCGCAATTCAGGGTGTGATCGGTTTGTTTACGCCTGGTTTTTCAATACTTTTATAAGTTTTCTTATTTTTCGGTTGTATCGAGAGATCGGTGTATTTTAACGAAAGTTTTCACCCTTATCTTTGGAGGTCTTATTCTGATTTTCGGAGGAAGTGACGGAATATTTGTGCCCGGGTTGGTTTTTTCTCCAGACAAATTTCGATTTTTTAACAAGCAATTGCTGACGGAATTTTTAAAAATCATTCGAAAAGTATTGTTGCCTGAGCTCAAATTTCAAATGTGATTATTTTTCGTAAAGTTATGGGGGCTTGAAGATTGCTAATGTGGCCGATTTGAGAGAATTAATAACGCGCGATGTATTTCGTGCTATTAACGCGTAAGCGGAAATTCAATCCGAATTAGAAAAAGGTCCAAATTGGATTGAGGTTCAGTTTTCAGTTTTTACTGAAAAATTTCATTCATTACTTTCTTTTAAATTATTCACTAGAAATAAAAACGCTTTCGAAACATTCAGGGCTTAACCCTGATAAGAGGAGTCTTGTTTGAAACTCACTTATCAATTTCTCTTTCAAAGCTTGGTTCGAGAAAAACTTTTCCTTCGTTTTCCCCTCGGTGATATCGAAAGTGAGATTGAGTTTTTCAAAAACGACTCTTTGACTGTGTTCGCGCTCAATTCAACATTTTAAAGGTTTGATCTTTGATTTATTTGTTTTAAGTTTCATTATAATTCAAGCTAACGGAAAATCAAATTCGTTTTTTAAACTCAATTAGTGTGGCAAAAAAGCCTCTTGATTGATAGTTTAAAAGCTTGTGTAAAACTACTAGTTCACTTTTCTATAAGCTAGCTCGCATAAACTGGTGCGCTGCGAAGTGCTAAATTTCAATATACGGTTACTGTTCCTGTGTTTAACCGCCTAATTGGTAGCTGGATTTTGAAAGATAGCAACAGAATATAGCGAAACTATTATTATATTCTATTTTAATTTTTGTAATTACGTTTTTTTTGGCTTTTTCTGCACACTTAAAAGCTAGCGTTTAAGAGTACTGAACGCAGTGAGTACTTTCATATAGGTCTTGCTGATTTTTTTTTTTGTTTTTTTTTCAGGAAAAAGGGTTAGGAAAATATTGATGCACTTAGGTATAATGCTTTTTTTGAGTTCAATGGAAATTCATCTGCTGAAAGTGACGTAAATATGGCTCGAGAAAACGTGAACAATTTCTAGTTTCGAAAGTGTAATTTAAATTTTAGATTTCCAGCGGAATAAAAACTTTACCTATTGATCGAGTTTTCTCTAGTTGGGTTGATGTTAATAAAAAAGCGCCAATCATAAATTGTTCTAGAAATTCAACTAGCTTTAAGGACATCTAATTTTTTCCTCGAAGTTTGAAAATTGAAGGTTTTCGAAAAAAAAAACAAGTCAGTTTTTTTTCAGTTTTCTTGCGTTCATTAATTTTGTTCAAACTGTTGGTTGGCTGTGTTTCCTTTTTCGCTTGTATCACCGAATTTTAGCTTTGCTTTGGTGTAAGTCGCAGATTTTCCTGGGGAATTAAATTAAAACAATTTTTTTGATCCGATACCTTAACTTGCGATTTTAGAAGTTCCTTCCTTAATTTTCCCACAGCCTGTTGGCTAATATTGAATTACTATCTTGTGAAAGTTATGTTAAGGAACGAAGTTAATTTTCCATTAATTGGGCATAGTTTTTTGATTTTTCAATATCACCTTACAGTTTCGGCCGTTTCCTAAAAGAAGGTGAAATTACAATTGGAAAAATTGCCTGACCGTCAGTTTGATCATTGTATTTTTTCCAAGTACCATTGAACGTAGTGAAGACACTAATTTATGTCGTATTCTTTGTTTTTTTTCCCTAATTTTTTGCGTCAAATTTGTTGATTGCGGTTTGTATTGTCATTTTTTCTGGTTCAATTAATATTAATTTGCTAATAGGAATGCAACTTCCGCTCTCTAATTTCAAAAGCGTTAAAATGGCGCGAAAAAGCGTGAACGAATTCTGATATCGAAAAGAGATTTTAATTCTTAAATTTCCCAGCAGATAATAAAGTTTACCCATTGATCCGCTTTTCTCAAATTGAGCTAATATATTGTTTCTGGGAAATAAAAGAACTAAGATCTATATATATTTTTTCGAAAATTGAAATTTTTCACATAAAACAGTTTTTTTCGGTGTCCTTGCGTTCCGTGACACAAAATTTTTTGAGAATTTCCAGTGGAATCAGAAAGTTCCGAATTGAACCTGTCTGCAAGTTAAGTCAGTTAAATTACCAAAGTATCTGATAGAAAAGTCTGGTTTAATTCGACAATTTGAGACCGTCACAAAATGGAAGAGCTAGTAGTTTTCATGTCATAAGTTACTGAGCTATGCATATATCCATAAATCATCGATAAATGGCTTACTGCGATTGAGTTTCCGCTAGTTTAAATGGCTACAATGTAATTATTGCTTTGAAGAGCGGATAATGAGTCCATACTTTGCAACAACAGTATCAGTATTAAAGTGCCGATCCTCAATCAAAGTTAAACATTCAATTATTTATGTAAATCATTCATTTGATACGACGAACGTGAGTTGTTCAACGATTTTAAAACTTAGCTTTCAGATTTTGATATATATTTTCTAATTATTAAATTTAACGGTTTTATTAGGAAGTTATTTTATAAGTTTTGTTTAAGTTAAGTTATGTTTTGGGTGAAATATTTTGCTCTTAATGTCTGATCAGTTTTAGGTTTGTTTTTGAATCTGAATTGTAAGTAACAGATTATTCTAAAGATTACAGTAGATTAGCCGCTCAATCTCAATTGCAGTTTATATTATAACAACCATTCTTAACCAAGAAATTTCACTTGAAGTTCTTGTGATTTATTTCTGCACAAATGGTGTCTTCGGCTGTAGAAAAAATTGATCGCAGCAGTGTCTACGAGAAAGCATTTGATGCAGCTGGGACATTTGGTCGAGCCCAGTGTTTGTTATTGGCTCTTGTGTGCTACATAACAGGGATAAACTGCTATGATTCTTACACCTATTTCTTCATTGACAAATTAACATTAGCCATTTAAATTTATGAGAATTGCACTAAGCTGAGTAAATATTTCAGTTGGATTTTCTACTGGAGTTACACTTTGCTAGGTAAATAATTAAATTTGATAGAATTACCGATATTTTCCTGCTCAATTTCTTAATTACCGAGAATTACCGATAATTTTTTGCTCAATTTTAACTCAATTTCAAAACGTCCTTTTCAATATAATGGTGATAATAATTAGGGCATTCATATATTTACACTTGCGAGAGGAAGTGTCTTGTAATCGGGATCTAGCTTTTTTTCCGTAAACAACTTTTCTTGCTAATCTTACTTGCTTTATTGTTGAAACTTAACAATGGTGGTCAGTCAATGAGCAGAATGATCAAAGTGCAGAAAAACAGTCAAATTTTGATTTATACGGGCTAATTACTAGCGATCAGCTTAGTGTATTATTACGAACCGTTTTTTCTAACCTAACTCGCAAGTAAGTGTTCATTAAAGTGTTCACATATTTGGTTATTTGGAAATTTCATCGTAGCGTTCGAAATTGCATAGCATCTGTTTCTGCAGTAGCTTCATTTGGGGCTAGTGTTTGGTGTTTTTTTAAGTGCCGTGGCTGAATGGTTAGTGTTTGAGACACTTAATCCCTAGGTCGCAGGTTTGAATCTCAGACGTAGCCGAATTTTTTTACTCGAGGCTTATTTCTAATTTTTCTTTTTGCATTTCATAGAACTGCTTTTTTGGCGTGTTCTCGTTAGTGTTTGCGAAGCAAAGCTTTACCTCTTTGTTGATAAATCAAGTATTAGAGTCGTCAATACTACCGAAGAAATGAATAATTTATACATTAATTGAGTAGCTTCATCAATTTTTTTCTAATTGAAAAAATTTCAAACAAATTGTTTTTTTTAGCACGATCTATTCGTTTTTTGGAAATAATGATCATATTTATTAAAGTTTAAGTATAGCCGACTAGCTTAAAAAAGTAAATATTTTTCTGTTTTGCTTTTTGACCAATTCTGCTTCTAGACCATTTTTCTGATGGCTCCGCCTCCCTTAACAAAATAGGTTCGCTGCCACTTGGCTTTGAAATAACGTTATTGCCTTCGCACCATGAGGTCTAGGGTTTGATTTTCTGCCGGGTTCGAGTCCTATACCGTTTTTTTTTTCAGTTTGTACGATATTGAAATTGTTTTTCTGCAAAAGTTGAATGGTCGGATCTTCGGTTGTCTGCGCAAGTTTTGTCGTCTTAGTTTCCTTTATCACGGATTTTTTTGTGCTCTGAGAAGTTGTCATTATAGTTGCAAGTGCTGTACTTTGTGGTTTCAGGGGGACTTAATTTTTTTCAAAATCTTTTTTTTTTCGGACTAGTGTCTGCTCAAAAATTGTCGGCTTTGTTTCCGCTTCGTAAGTTTTGTTGCATATAATGTTTAATTGTTTTGCTTGCCTTGAATGAACTTTTATCTAGACATACGAAAATTTTTGCTCGACCCATTTTTTTCATCAGTTTTCATTTTTTTCGACTTTTTTAATGTTTGTGTTGTATCGCAAGTGCTGCGAAGCTCCGCTTCACCTCTGTGTAAATCATAGCAGCTTTGATTAGGCGGACTAAATGCTTTTGAGCAACTGATGAACATTAGAAGGTTTTGTTTATTTTTCAGGTGCTTTTGGGGGGATTCTTAATAGGCATAAATTTAGATGGGGGGATAATTAGCATTTCGGCTTCAATAAATGGGGAATTCATTCCAAAGCCGCAACGGAAAGTAGAGAATGCTTGATCTAATTCGTTTTCATAAGCTTGTGATGATTAAATACTGTAGTTAAAAGGATTTTGGCAGTTTTTCCCTTCATAGCGTACAACGGATGGCAAGCATTCATTGCAGTCTTCGCTACTTTAAATGTTGACTTCCGCTGTGCAGATTCCGAGAACCTCTTAATTCATGGAAACGATTCCGACATCTATTTCGACAACAAGTGCGTCGAAAACTGCGGAATTTACATCTACGACTCGTCAGTATCTTCGGTTATCAGTGAATTCGATTTGGCATGTGGCTCGAAAACATTCTTGGCTTCGATGTCCAATTCGGCATTTTGGATCGGTTATTTTCTGTCGTGTTTTATAAGCGGCGCAATTGCGGACAAATTTGGACGCAAGATGGTGTCGCTGATTCTTCTTAGTGTTCTTGGTGAGTAATCGGCTCTTTTTCCTTTTCCCCCACCTGCGATTTTTTTTAGTAAACTTATTAGTATTTCAAGTATTGTCCGATTGTTTAAAAAAACGGCTCGAAGACTAGTTAGGCCATGACCAGAATATTTGGTCCTCATACTTCACCTTTTAAAGCCCCTTGTTACACCATAAAATTGATGCTTATGTGATGTGAGGGGGGAAACGAAAAAGAGCCGAGTAATCAATTATAAATGCGACAGTTTTGTTTCCTTTAATTTTGCGGGAACAATTTTTGTCTATGGCTTGATCGCCGTTTCTATGGCAATTTTTTTAAAGACGGACTATGATGCTTTAGTTTTTTCAGATACAGTTCTCGAGTTTGTATATTTTATCTGCTTTCAAATAAAAGTTTGAAACAAACTTCAGTCTCATTTTTGTTTCAGGGCTAAGCTCTCTGACTACGGCGTTTAGTCCTAGCATATACGTCTATATTCTGATGAGGAGTATTTCCGGCTTCTGTTCTCTCAATTTCAGCATCGATTTTGTCATTCTTGCGGAGTCAGTCGATAAGAAATATCTACCACTAATTGGTTCAACGAGTATCGTCATTTTCTCAATCGGAGGGGGTGTTTGCGCGTTGTCTGGCTATATTTTCAGGTACGGGTGTGCGACAGAAGAAGCACTCAGATTTCGTGGCTTAAGCCAATCATTGTTCCGACTTTCGATACGAAAGTAGCGGAATATTTGTGCTCGGGGTGGGTTTTTTTTTTCTTCAGACAAATTTCGACTTTTTAACTAGCCATTTTTGACGGAATTTTTTTATATCATTCAAAAGGTATTGTTGTCTTGAGCTTAAATTTGAAAAGATATTTCACCTGTGATCATTTCTCGTAAAGTTATGAGGGTTTAAAGACTGCCATTTTGACCAATTTGGGACAATTAACGCGCAATATAATTCGCGCTATTAACGCGTAAGCGAGATTTAAGCCGTCTTATAAATGGTTCCAAATTGGTTGAAAGAAGCTTATTTGCCATAATTGATTTGTTACAAGGAACGAAATCTATCTTTTTGTACTTTATATGGCGTGTGGGGGGATGATTTTCATAAAAAAATTTCAAATTTAAAAAAAAAATTCATTTTATTTGATTTCATTTATTTTTTTAATGTATTACTGCTGCTCAATAAACCTTAAAAGGCAGTCGGAACATTCAGGGCTTCGCCCTGATACGAGCAGTCTTGTTGATATTTAGACTCAAGCAACAACGAGGTTTTTTGTCTGATAAGTCCGGCAATACTTTGTGGAATAAGGTGGTATATAAACTAGCCGAGTATAAACGAGCTACCATATAAACCAGCTGATAAAACGTAATTGTTATTTTATAGTTATGTAACAATTATGTAACACTACGAAATGCATGCAAATTTCATTCATGACGTAACTTTTTAGCTGGCTTTTATACTCTGCGCATTTTCGGATGGCTTACACTTCGGCTGGTTTATTCACACTCATGGAATAAAGTTGTTCGGATATACTTTTTTTGTGAAATAAAAAAATAAAAATCGAACAGGGCTTTTAGCGGGGCTTTTCCGCCTTACACGTCTGTTGGCAAACTTTTTTGTGCTCGGTGAGTATCGCCTATATTATTTTTTCTCTGTATTATTATTCATTGTATTATTATGCTCTTAGTGTTCAAATAATGACTCAAAACAAACAAATACTTCGTCTTGTTCTCCCAATTTTGAAGTTTGCGTTGAAAACGTCAGTTTTTTTAATCGGAGTTGGTCTGAGTAAAAAAACTACCCGAGCACCAATATTCTAAATCTAAAAGCTTGTTGTTCCGACCATTGAAGTTCGGGTATGTATAATTTTTTTTTGCTTTTTGTTTTCCACGCAAAATCAGGTACCACAAATACTGATCGGACTGGGTTGAGTGATATATCATATAAAAGGTCTTTCTGGTGTCGAGAAAAATTGGTTCGAAAATTTTGATTTTTCGTTTCAATTCGAGCGAATAAAGCAGGCGAGCTGTCTCACAACATCTGAGTTATGCCTAATTTAGTACCTTAAAACTTAATTTTAAGCAAGTAAAATTAGTTTTTGGAGTTTTTAGTTTCAATTTGTGAACCAAAAACTTCAAAAAGCTCAAAAAATTTTTTGGTAATTTTTTTTTTGACTTCAGATGTTTACAAAATTTTGAAAAATTTGTTTTTAGTTCTAGTCATTTTTCTACAAAAAATGTTGTGCAATTTGCCAATATTACTATGACAGTCTAATATGACCAAATTTTAAATTATTCTTTTTACGTCAGAAGCTTTTATCACACCAAGCAGAAAAACTACACTATTTTGGAAAAAAAAACGTTCTAAACCGTAGTTTTCTAAAGACTATGGTCGGAACATTCTGTGCTACTTGCACAGTTATCATTTAGGGTATCATACAGATATCATAACCGGCTATATTTGTTGTCATATAGGGTAGTTTGACAAACTTTTAGTTTTAAACTGATGCAATGAAAGAAATTTCTCTTCATTTTTCGGCCGGCGACTACTCAGGGTACAGGGTTGAGATTATTTACGCACCGCTGATGAAACAATTTACATACAGAAATGCTTGCGTTGTATTACGAGTTTTATTTTTCCATTATGTGTACTGCTCAAATGTCCTGTACGGTTCATGTGTTTTATCCGCTTTATTGATGGAAAGAAAAAAGAAATATTTCTAACGTGTGCCTACTTAAGAGCGTGTTAACGAATACATACAGCAAGGTTATATGGCGCAAGTGCGATGGAAATTGAATTGTACTCTAGAAATCTGTTCTTGAGGTAGTTCAGACGCTGCAGTCAGTTACTTTTTTTCCCAGCTTTTTTTTTTCTTAATACTTGTATTTTCTTGCATTTAAAATTCAATGTTGCCATTTGTTTGCGGGTATTTGCGGAGTGCAGCTTTGCTTCTATATTAGAAGGACCTTGTCGGATCAAAATTTAAAGCACAGTTTTGACCTTCTGTACTTAGCGCTGAATGTACTCATTATGTTAGCAAATGGTAACGATTTGTTTTTTTCCAAACCTAAGTAATTATTTTTGCTGCATAGCGTTCAGCATTGCCAATTCAATAGCATGTGTTTGCATCAGTTTTGTTGGTGGCTCTTTTTCGAAGGAAGCTAGGCGGAAAGGCGCAGTTGGCAAGACGTTAGATTCCAATTTTGGGGACGGGGATTTAAATCCCGTACAGAGAGGTGTTTTCACCAAGCGAAGCTTCTTAACTGAACTTTTTATCATTTTACTTTTTACTTTATCATTTGTTGCTGGTGTACGCTCCTGATGGAGACACTCCATCTAATGGTGAGTGTCCTAACACCGCGCTGAGTATAATTTTGATAACACTTTGAAGCCGAACTGAACTGTGGGTTGAAACTATTGTTGGTACACACAACCTTTTTTCATATGCAGACCAAAGTCGCACACCCTTTGTTCATATGCAGACACTCGTGGCAACTACAGTTTGTTGCACTATCGATACCGACTGTTGTCTACTTTCTCCTTCATCTCTTCCTGATGCCAGAAAGTCCACGCTGGTTGGAATCAAATGGGAAAACAAGACAGGCAGAAGAAGTTCTAAAGTGGATTGCCAAGTTAAACGGAAGAGACACTTCTTCGGTCACTTTACAGACCCGAACAGAGACAAATGTTTTGGCAAGTAACGATCAAAAACCGTCAAACGAAACCAAAAGTGATGCGTGCGAAGAGAAAACCAACTCGGATGAACGTATAAGCGCCACTGAGAATCGTCACGGAAATAATATTTTGTCGCTTTTCGGCACTTTTTGGGCGGCGAATTTGACTCTTTGCGGGGCTTTGTCGTGGTTTGCTGTTAGTTCGGTCTACTATGGGCTTACATACAATGTTCAGCAGATTGTGGGTGACGTTTATGTTAATTCGTTAGTGCTATCAGCTACAGAGTTACCCGCTTGGTTTGTTTTTGTTGCCATGGATAAACTTGGACGAAAAACAACTTTATGTGCTTGTTTATGCATTGCATCTCTAGCATGTGTTCTTTTACCGTTCACGCAGAATTTTTACGATGGAAAACTGCAAATAGTTTTCGCAATGTTGACGAAACTGTTTGCAAACGGGGGCTTTGTAATGCTGTTTATTTATTCTCCCGAACAGTTTCCGACGGTTTTACGCAGCACTGGACTTACGTTTTGTTCGTCGGCGGCGCGATTGGCTGCAATTTTGGCGCCTTTCATTATCGAAATGGACGTTGGACCGTATAACTGTGCGCCGTTTATTATATTCGGCTCATTTGGACTATTATCAGTTTTTATGGTGTTTGTGTTTGGCGTCGAAACGAATAGAAGACCGTTTATAACTACAGTTGACCAGTATTATGAAGTAGCAAAAGCGAGAGAAATAAAATTACACCAAGAAAGTTCGAACTGCGATGAAAAAATTGAAACATGCAAAAACATTTGCACAACTGAAAACAGGTGTTGAGTTTCATAATATATGAAAACAAAATGCTGCCGATTACAGTTTGAGATTTTTCTACTGAGCTTTATATCGCTGAGATTTTCCGACGTGTGGTTTGTTTTTGAGTTAATATTGATCAACACCAGTTTTTCATCAGAGCACGCATGTCAGGGTACCTCCGTTAATGTTGCAGCTCTAAACTCTGAAATCTAAAACATTAGTGCAGTATTTGGTAAGCAGATAAAAGGCATGTTTTGCATTTTTTTATATAGTTTCAAAATGTATGCTGACTGCAAAGTAAGTGTTAGATTGAACATTTCAAATCAAGATAAAATATTAGAGGAGGCGTTATCTTTCCCGATATTGTATACGAATAAAGAACTATTAAGTAAGTTTTAGTGCTGATTTAGTGCATTAATTAAGTTTTTTTAGTTTCCGAGGCATGATGCTTTTTATGATCTTGCAGAATTTTTCAACAAACTTAGATTCTGGAAAACTTCAAATATTTCAAATTTTATTTTTATGGCGAGTGGCTGAAAAAATCCTCTAGGGTTTTCATTTTTGGTCTCAAAATTTATTGCTCAATTCCAAGTGTTCGAAAAAGGTGAAATGAAAAAAAAATTAGAAAAAGTTTGAAACTTTCATTTCCGCTGAGCGAGGGTGTCAAAGTAGTATCATGAGACTTTTAACTGTAATGAAAAAATTACTGCTCAATGATTTCTAAATTTTGGGATTGAGCAGACGTTTTTATAATTTTAAAATTTCAAAAAACATAATTCTAAAATTGTAACTGTCTAAACTTTAGTGGGGTGATGTCAGGATACTTTCGTCAATTTCAGATGAAGTCCCCATTCACTTTGGTTGCTCGTTTTTCTAATTTTCTATTAGATGGCGTTTCTTATGATACTTCGAAGGTTTTCAAAACTTAAGGAAATTTTTTTTTCTCGATATTTTCCTTATGGTGGGGTGATTTCAAGTTACTTGCAGATATTAGGCTCCATATACAGCTGCTCAACTCTTTTGGTCTTCTTGATTTGACGGGCTCAATTACAGGCTTATATGAACAATATGTCTTTTCAGTAAAAAAAGAACCCCGAAAAGTTAAGTTTCCAATCGTTTAAATTTGATAAAGAAAGTTTTTCTGGGTAACCCGTCTTTTTTATGGTTGCAATTTATTTTAAATAGATTTTTATTTCTTCGTCCAACACTCTGTTTGAAACACCAGAGGCTCAAGTTTCATGTAGTATTTTGAAAACGTAACGCCAAACGTTCTATGGACCCAGTTATTCAGCAAAGCTTACGGGCGACCATGGTTAACGAAAATCGTTAGTGACAATGTTTTAGCAAATAGCATGAACAATCTAGAAGACTTTTAAAATCAAAATCCAGCTAAATTTCAACTTAGGAACTTGGTCTAGGTCATGGCGAAATGTCTACACAGATTCTCCTGACTTTTTCAGAAAACTTTTGATTTTAAAGTATATATCACAATCTTTAATTGTGAAATGGCTCTGACAATTTTTCTTATAATTTTTTACCAACTTCTTCGGATTAAAACCCCCACAGAGACTTTTAATCGTTCTGATATTTAAGGAGCAATGTGTTGGTGTATAGTTTCTTTTGTTATTAGGCAGGGGTTTGGTCGTATGCGATCGAGGGTCCTAACAGATAAACAAATGATTCATCGTACAAGTTTTTGCAAATGATTCGAAAAGTTTCGAAGTAAAAGATATTTGAAAACAACCAGTTGTGCCTATTGAGTTACTCGACAAAACCCATTTAGCCAATACTATTGATGAGCGTGACTCTTCTCAGACATTTGTTTTAACAGGGACCCAATGTGTTACACTTCAAAAAACGGAAAAAAGTTTTAATGGGAAAAGTACTTTTATTTGAAAAGCCTTAAAATCTATCGTTTTTTTCGAGATTTTGTAGCTAGATAGATTATAAATTTAAAAATAATAATTAATTAAGTTTTTTTAGTTTCCGAGGCATGATGCTTTTTATGATTTTGCAGAATTTTTCAACAAACTTAGATTCTGGAAAACTTCAAATATTTCAAATTTTATTTTTATGGCGAGTGGCTGAAAAAATCCTCTAGGGTTTTCGTCTTTGGTCTCGAAATTTATTGCTCAATTCCCAGTGTTCGAAAAAGGTGAAATGAAAAAAAAATTAGAAAAAGTTTGAAACTTTCATTTCCGCTGAGCGAGGGTGTCAAAGTAGTATCATGAGACTTTTAACTGTAATGAAAAAATTACTGCTCAATGATTTCTAAATTTTGGGATTGAGCAGACGTTTTTATAATTTTAAAATTTCAAAAAACATAATTCTAAAATTGTAACTGTCTAAACTTTAGTGGGGTGATGTCAGGATACTTTCGTCAATTTCAGATAAAATCCCCATTCACTTTGGTTGTTCGTTTTTCTAATTTTCTATTAGATGGCGTTTCTTATGATACTTCGAAGGTTTTCAAAACTTAAGGAAATTTTTTTCTCGATATTTTCACTATGGTGGGGTGATTTCAAGTTACTTGCAGATATAAGGCTCCATATACAGCTGCTCAACTCTTTTGGTCTTCTTGATTTGACGGGTTCAATTACAGGCGTATATGAACAATATGTCTTTTCAGTAAGAAACGAACCCCGAAAAGTTAAGTTTCCAATCGTTTAAATTTGATAAAGAAAGTTTTTCTGGGTAACCCGTCTTTTTTATGGTTGCAATTTATTTTAAATAGATTTTTATTTCTTCGTCCAACACTCTGTTTGAAACACCAGAGGCTCAAGTTTCATGTAGTATTTTGAAAACGTAACGCCAAACGTTCTATGGACCCAGTGTTTCAGCAAAGCTTACGGGCGACCATGGTTAACAAAAATTGTTAGTGACAATGTTTTAGCAAATAGCATGAACAATCTAGAAGACTTTTAAAATCAAAATCCAACTAAATTTCAACTTAGGAACTTAGTTTAGGTCATGGCGAAATGTCTACACAGATTCTCCTGACTTTTTCAGAAAACTTTTGTTTTTAAAATATGTATCACAATCTTTAATTGTGAAATGGCTCTGACAATTTTTCTCATAATTTTTACCAACTGCTTCGGATTAAAACCCGCACAGAGACTTTTAATCGTTCTGATATTTAAGGAGCAATGTGTTGGTGTATAGTTTCTTTTGTTATTAGGCAGGGGTTTGGTCGTATGCGATCGAGGGTCCTAACAGATAAACGAATGATTCATCGTACAAGTTTTTGGAAATGATTCGAAACGTTTCGAAGTAAAAGATATTTGAAAACAACCAGTTGTGCCTATTGAGTTACTCGACAAAACCCATTTAGCCAATACTATTGATGAGCGTGACTCTTCTCAGACATTTGTTTTAACAGGGACTCAATGTGTTACACTTCAAAAAACGGAAAAAAGTTTAAATGGGAAAAGTACTTTTATTCGAAAAGCCTTAAAATCTATCGTTTTTTTTCGAGATTTTGTAGCTAGATAGATTATAAATTTAAAAATAATAATTAATTAAGTTTTTTTAGTTTCCGAGGCATGATGCTTTTTATGATCTTGCAGAATTTTTCAACAAACTTAGATTCTGGAAAACTTTTCAAATATTTCAAATTTTATTTTTATGGCGAGTGGCTGAAAAAATCCTCTAGGGTTTTCATTTTTGGTCTCAAAATTTATTGCTCAATTCCAAGTGTTCGAAAAAGGTGAAATGAAAAAAAAATTAGAAAAAGTTTGAAACTTTCATTTCCGCTGAGCGAGGGTGTCAAAGTAGTATCATGAGACTTTTAACTGTAATGAAAAAATTACTGCTCAATGATTTCTAAATTTTGGGATTGAGCAGACGTTTTTATAATTTTAAAATTTCAAAAAACATAATTCTAAAATTGTAACTGTCTAAACTTTAGTGGGGTGATGTCAGGATACTTTCGTCATTTTCAGATGAAGTCCCCATTCACTTTGGTTGCTCGTTTTTCTAATTTTCTGTTAGATGGCGTTTCTTATGATACTTCGAAGGTTTTCAAAACTTAAGGAAATTTTTTTTCTCGATATTTTCACTAAGGTGGGGTGATTTCAAGTTACTTGCAGATATTAGGCTCCATATACAGCTGCTCAACTCTTTTGGTTTTCTTGATTTGACGGGCTCAATTACAGGCGTATATGAACAATATGTCTTTTCAGTAAAAAAGAACCCCGAAAAGTTAAGTTTCCAATCGCTTAAATTTGATAAAGAAAGTTTTTCTGGGTAACCCGTCCTTTTTATGGTTGCAATTTATTTTAAATAGATTTTTATTTCTTCGTCCAACACTCTATTTGAAACACCAGAGGCTCAAGTTTCATGTAGTATTTTGAAAACGTAACGCCAAACGTTCTATGGACCCAGTGTTTCAGCAAAGCTTACGGGCGACCATGGTTAACAAAAATCGTTAGTGACAATGTTTTAGCAAATAGCATGAACAATCTAGGAGACTTTTAAAATCAAAATCCAACTAAATTTCAACTTAGGAACTTAGTTTAGGTCATGGCGAAATGTCTACACAGATTCTCCTGACTTTTTCAGAAAACTTTTGTTTTTAAAATATGTATCACAATCTTTAATTGTGAAATGGCTCTGACAATTTTTCTTATAATTTTTACCAACTGCTTCGGATTAAAACCCGCACAGAGACTTTTAATCGTTCTGATATTTAAGGAGCAATGTGTTGGTGTATAGTTTCTTTTGTTATTAGGCAGGGGTTTGGTCGTATGCGATCGAGGGTCCTAACAGATAAACGAATGATTCATCGTACAAGTTTTTGGAAATGATTCGAAACGTTTCGAAGTAAAAGATATTTGAAAACAACCAGTTGTGCCTATTGAGTTACTCGACAAAACCCATTTAGCCAATACTATTGATGAGCGTGACTCTTCTCAGACATTTGTTTTAACAGGGACTCAATGTGTTACACTTCAAAAAACGGAAAAAAGTTTTAATGGGAAAAGTACTTTTATTTGAAAAGCCTTAAAATCTATCGTTTTTTTTCGAGATTTTGTAGCTAGATAGATTATAAATTTAAAAATAATAATCAATTAAGTTTTTTTAGTTTCCGAGGCATGATGCTTTTTATGATCTTGCAGAATTTTTCAACAAACTTAGATTCTGGAAAACTTCAAATATTTCAAATTTTATTTTAATGGCGAGTGGCTGAAAAAATCCTCTAGGG